TTGGGGGCGTCCTGGAGGCCTCCCAGATGGTCTGTGCGGCATGTTGGGAGCCCGAAGGCCCAAGATAAAGCCCCACGGCCATTCTTGGAACCGTTTTGGTGCCCTCTTGGGGCTCCCTTCGGGCCCGCTTGGGGCTCACTTAGCTCGTCTTGAGGCCCTCTTGGGCCGTCCTGGGGCGTCCTTGGGCGCCTCTTGGGGCTGTTTGGGCGCTCTGATATCTAAGGGAAAAGATATGATACAACATTACGCTTTTCGAATGGAATCAACCCATTTGGGTATCGGGGGGCCCTCGTGGGGGGCCTCTTGGACCTCTCTTGGGGCGTCTTGAAGGCCTCTTGGCCCTTCTGGAAGCCATCTTGGGCCATCTTGAAGCGCTCCTGGGGCCCTCTTGGGGCCCTCTTGGGGCTCCCTTGGGGCCCGCTTGGGGCTCACTTAGGCCGTCGTGGGGCCCTCCAGGGCCGTCTTGGGGCTGTCCTAAGCAGTTCTGGGGCGTTCTTGGGCGCCTCTTGGGGCTGTGTGGGCCCACTGATTTCAAAGAGAGCGGATCTGCTAAACATCTACGTTTTACAAAAGGAATGGGGCCCTTTGGGTTTCCTGGGGCCCTCTTGGGGGGCCTCTAGGGAGCGTCCTGAACGCCTCTTAGCCCTTCTGGAAGCCATCTTGGGCCGTCTTGCCCTTCTTGGAACCCTCTTTTGGGGCTCCCTTGGGGCCTGCTTAGGGCTGTATCAGGCCGTCTTGGGGCCCTCCTGGGCCGTCTTGGGGCTGTCCTACGGGCCGTCCTGGGGCGTCCTGGGGCGTCTCTTGGGCATATCTGGGCGATGTGATATCCAAGGGAGCGGATCTGCTAAACATCCATTTTTTACAAACGAAATGGTGCCATTTTGGTCTCCCGGGGCCCTCGTGGGGGCCTCTTGAACCTCTCTTGGGGCGTCTTGAGCACCTCTTGTTGAGCTGTCTTGAAGCGCTCCTGGGGCCCTCTCGGCGCTCTTGCAAAGAACGCTCTCGAGCGGTCCGGGAGCCTCCGCGGGTAGTCCGGGGAGCCCCCCGGGGAGAGGGGGGACCGTGGTACAAGCGGGGGGTCAGCCCGGGCCCCCAGGACCAGATCTCCAATAGATGTGTATGTGTATGTATGCTCGTATGTCTGCATGTATGTATGTATGCATGTATGTGTGTGTATGTATGTATGTATGGATATATGTATGGAAATATGTAGGTATGTATGTATGTATGTATGCATGCATGCATGCATGCATGCATGTATGTATGTATGTATGTATGTATGTATGTATGTATGTATGTTTGTGTATATGTATGTATGGATGCATGTATGCATGTATGAATGTATGTATGTATGTATGTATGTATGTATGTATGCATGTATGTATGTATGTATGTATGTGTGTATGTATGCATGTAGGTAGGTATGTATGTATGTATGTATGTGTGTATGCATGTATGTATGTATGTAAGTATGTATGTGTATATGTGTGTGTATGTATGTATGTATGTATGTATGTTTGTATGTTTGTATGTTTGTATGTATATATGCAAACATGGATGGATGCATGCATGCATGTGTGGATGTATGAATGAATGTTTGCATGTGTGTACGTGTGTGTGTATGTACGTACGTACGCACGTATGTGTGTACGTATGTACGTATGTACGTATGTACGTATGTACGTATGTACGTACGTACGTACGTACGTATGTTTACATGTACGTATGTCGGTCTGCCTGTATGTCTGTCTGTCTGTCTGTATGTATGTATGTATGTATGTATGCCTCTTTACATATTTACATATATAAACACCACCGTGCCGCTGGTCACGGAGTGGGCATGTCCTCAGCTCCTCTCACGGCCCCTCTAAGCCTCACTCCTCACTCCTGCGGAATCCCACCAGCCCTCTGGGCGTCGGTGGTTTAGAGCGTTTCCTCTTCCACCCCTCCTTCTTCCCCTTCGGGGGGGGTTTACCCCTCCCCCTACCCCCTCCCCACTGACCTGGACAGGGGGGGCCGCGATCGGTCAGAGCGTCCAAGATCGACCCCTGGGAGGGCTAAAATCGACACCCCTCACGAGGATCGTGGCTCCTGAGGGGGGGGCTGAAATTTAGGAACCCCCCTTCGTTGATCGATCTCCTCCAAGATGGCTCCGAGAGACGTCTTGGACCCCCTCTTGGGCCCTGCGCGCGGGCGGGCGGAGCGCCGCCCGCCCGCCCGCAAGGCCCAAGAGCCCACCAAAACGTTCGAAGACACTTCCAATACGCCACCAGGGAGGAGGAAGAGGCGGAGGAGGAGGAGGAGGAGGAGGAGGAGGAGGAGGAGGAAAAGGAGGAAGAGGAGGAGGAGGAGGAGGAGGAGGAGGAGGAGGAGGAGAGGGAGGAGGAGGAGAGGAGGAGGAGGAGGACAAGGCGGAGGAGAAGGCGGAAGAGGGGAGGAGAACAGCTGCCGATCATCGGCGCTCTTCGTTCGAGTGCCTGGTGTAGGACGGGCTGGTGGGGATACGCGAAGCGTCAAGAATATTTGAAGGATTCGGAGCCTCTCGGTCCAAATCTCCCGGGCCTTGTCGCGGCTCATCTGAGCTCCCCCGAGTGTTGTCGCATGACTTACTCGGGCCCAAGAGGGTCCCTAGACGGGCCAAGAGGGCCCCAAGAAGCCCTCAAGACGGGGTAAGAGGGCCGCGAGTCGCCGAACGATCGCTCTAGACGGCCCAAGAGGCCTCCGAGACGCCTCAAGAGGCTTTCAAGAGGCCTCCCAAGAGGACCCCAAGAGGTCTGAATCAGTGATTTTCCCGAGGTTGTTGCAGGATGTGGGCGTTCTCGCCTCTTCGGCTTCCCGACGCTCCCAGACGGCCGTAGAGGCCCCCAAGACCGCCCCAACACGGCCCAAAAGGCTTCCAAGAGGGCCCCAAAACTACCCAAGAGGGCCCCAAGACAGCCTAAGGGGCGCCCAAAACGGCCCAAGGGGCCCCCAAGACGGCCCCGAAAGGAGCCCAAAAGAGAGAGCACGAAGCGACATTCCAAGCCTTCCGCCTCAAGAGGCCCCCCAGAGGCCCCAAGAAGCGCCCAGGAGGCCCCAAGAGACTCCCAAGACGCCCCCCAAAAGCCCGAAGAGACCCCAAGAGGCCCCCAAACGGCCCCCAAGAGGCGTCCAAACTGCCTCCAAGAGCCCCCCAAAAAGCCTCCAACGAGATCCCGACGAACATTAAACAAATTTTGAACCCGCAACCCAGGCACGGTGGCGGGATGAGCCGAAGGCCATTATGTAAAGACATGCGTGTGTGCATACATACATACATACATACATACATACATACATACATACATACATACATACATACATACGTACGTACATACATACATACATACATACATACATACATACATACATACATATATCTACAGAATATACACCTGCGTTTGTGTGCTTGTGCGCGGGATACACGTACACGCCGCCACGCGCGCGTCAACATCCTTCCAACAACCATTGGTTTTCGAAGCAGGTCAAGCACACATTGAAAACAAACTTGTTTGTTTCAACAAATAACCTGCCAACGTTCTGGAATTTCCGCTCACGCGCACTTCCTCACCATCACCCCTAGCAGCGCCGCCGCATCACGTAACCTTCGTCGACAATCACCGCCATGGTCGTCATCATTACTCAAACACCTTCGTCACCGACACATGGGCATCATCGTCGTCGTCACCAGCATCGGTGCCTTCATTGATGGCCAACCATCATCGACATCATCTCCAGAACCATCGCAACTATCATCATCGATGCCGTCGTGTCCGACATCATCATGATACCGCGTGCGCCCGAGTCATCGAACCTCAGCGAAGTGCCCGCGCGCCAGCGCTGCCTTTAAGACGCGCTGGTAAGTTGCCAGCGGTACCCGCCATCGCGACCGCATCGGGAGTGCAAAACCAGCAAGCCACTCTGCGCGCGAGCTTGCGCGATAGCGCAGCAGCAAAGATGCGCCTGCCAGTGCCAAGGAGTCACCACAATCGCGGCCGCACAGGTTGTGCAAAACACGCTACGGGCGGGATAGCGGGATGATTGCACGAGCTTTGGTGTTGACAACTAAGTAGTCAACATGAATGAATTACACCCCACCTCCGGTTCGCACCACATGCATTACGCAACATGGCTTCGCCACACCGCATTGCCTTCAATTCCATAGCTCACACCACGTAGCTTACACGACGTAGCTGACACCACATAACTTACGCCACACAACTTGCACCACAACAATGCAATACTTCACTGTTTTGGGTCAGCGCCGGCAAGCACTTGGACTCCTGGGGGGGATGCTAATTAGTGTCCCCTCTTTGATACATTGACTCCAAAATGTCCGCGAGAGACCCGAACAGCCCCCAAGTGAGCCCCAAGACGCGCCCAAAAGGCCTCAATACGCTGCAAGCGGCCCCCCTACAGCCGGCAAGAGATTCCCAAGACACCCCAACAGATCAATGGAAGCTTCAATGGGGCCTCTGGTTCAAGGTAGCTCCGCTGGGCATCGTCTCTGGACGGGCTGGTGAGGAGACGCGAAGCGTCAAGAATTTTTAACGGAAGGCACATTGGTCTTGGTGCGAAGAGTACATCGTGAAGCAAACATCTCTACGTTCCCTTTTCCCTCCGAAAAAAGAAGACGACAAGGAACTCGAGCACGAAGACATTATCATCCTCCTCGTTCCCCTCGCCTTCGTCCTCATCCTCATGCTCCTCAGGAGGTCTCCAGAGGTTTTCAATGGTCCAAGGGGACAAGGGGCCGACGAATAGCGCAGCGCGCACAAGAGAAAGGAACAAACTGTTACAGGGTTACGACGGTTGCGCCCGTGTAAGAACGACGACGCAATTCAAAGATGTTGCATCATGGCTGTCCCGACTTTGCTCCAAATCTTTCTTGGGCAACAGACCACGCTAAACTCAATCAGCGTAATCCTCACGACTGCCAGTGATGGAGCGGGAGCGGGAGGCCGAGACGTGGGCGCTGGGTCCTCGGACACCTCGGAGTACTCCTCGTACTCACAGCGGCGGCGCCACCGATGCTGGGCAGGGGAGGAGGGAGAGGGAGCTAGGAGGGAGGGAAGCGAGAGGAGGATCGTGGACTGCGGCTCCTGGGCGCTTTTGAATCTGACGAGGCTTCCAGATGCCTCCCCAGGGACCTCGTTGGGGCCTCCGCAGGTGTCCGGGGACCCCAAAGACACCCAAAGACTTCAGTGGGAGTGGGGAGGAGGAGGAAGCGGAAGTGGGTCCCTCCTTCCCGGTAGGGTGGGGCCTACGCTCGGGCCACCGCCGCACCAGCACTGCCCGCCACTTCTGGCGCTTCCTCCCCTCTTCCCCATCCTCATGCACGTAGCGTCGAGTCCGCCCCTCTTTTCACAGTGCTTTTTCTTGCCCCTCCCCCCGACACCGCCGGTGAGAGTGGTTGTAGGGCTTCGCTCTGGAAGGAGAAATCGGCCCGCAGCATCGGGTTTCGATGAGAAGGGAGAAGGAGGGAGTCATGAGTGATGGAGATGTCGAGAAGGGGCAGGCTGCCGCACGTGAGATTTAGGCCAGCGCTCGCGCCGCTCGCCGTCGTCGTCGTCGTCGTCGCCCGAGTCCGCCCGAAATCGATCTCCCCAACCCCACCCCGGATAAGCTTCTGACGGCCCCGGTGCCCGAAGCGGGCCTCCAGACGTAGAACGACGAAATGTATACATATCAACTGCTCCCTGGCCAGGCCTGTCCTGGACCCAGCAGCTGTGCATACGCCACGCCCTCCTGGCCTCCTGGCTTGGCCAGGAAGACGTGTATACACAGCTCCTGGGCCGAGGGTGGGGCCTGGCCAGGGGACAGTGGATATATGTGGATTTTGGCGCCGGAAGAAGCCGAGGCGTCGAAGATCTTCCCCGTCGTCGTCCACCCCTTCCATTGTCCGATGGCCGTCGTCGTCGTCGTCGTCGTCATCGTCGTCGTCGTCCGTCGTCCGTCATCCGTCGTCTGTGTCGTCGTCATCGTCGTCGTCGTCGTCCGTGTCGTCGTCGTCGTCGTCGTCGTCGTCGTCGTCGTCCGTGTCGTCGTCGTCGTCGTCGTCGTCGTCGTCGCCCGTCGTCCGTGAGCCGTCGTCCGTCAACCGTCGTCCGTCGTCGTCCGTCGTCGTCGTCGTCGTCGTCGTCGTCGTCGTCCTCCTCCTCCCCCCCCCCTCCGATGGTACAGTAGGAAAAAATGCTCTCCGCGTCGCTGTCCTCCCGGCCGCTGCTCGAGCAGGAGCGCCCGCGCGCCCCTCGGCGGCTGCGCGACCTGGGAAGCTTTTTGGGGGGCATCTCGCCCGTCGCCGCCCCTCATTAATGAAGACGGAACCAAGACGACGATGAAATCGGGTGAAGATAAATGAAGAAGCTCTGCGATCCGGCGGTTCTGGAGGATAGGCTGGGCGCCGCGGCCTTCTCAGAGCGCTACTGAACGCTTTGAGAGCGTTCCAAAACGCGTTGGGCTGGATTTCGCCTCATCCAAGCCCCGGACGATCCTAGCCTCTCCTCCTTGCCCGCCTCCTCCTCGCGCTCCTCTTGCTCGCCTCGCCTCCGCCTCCTTTGCGTCCCCTTCTTCCTCCTCCTCCTCCTCCTCCTCCTCGTTCCTCCTCTGCCTGCTTGTCCGTTTCATCTTCCCCTCTTCCTCCTCCCCCTCCTCCTCCTCCTCCTCCTCCTCCTCCTGCTCATGTTCCTCGTCTTCTTTGCCCTCCAGCCCTCCACCTCTCCGTCGTTGTTTCTCTCTCCTCTCTCTCTCTCTCTCTCTCTGTCGATCTCTTTTTTTTTTCTCTCTCTCTCTCTCTCTGTCGCGGTGCCGCCGAAACGCCCTCCCGATCGCCGCGCGCCGCCTGTGGTCGGCACACCGAAATACGCCGCCGCAGCGCGCGGCACCCCTAGCCAAAGCTAGTGCCCGTGACTGGGGTAGGGATCCACCAACGCGCCCTGTGCACGTTGATGCGTGGAAGAACCAACCCCCTCTCGACGCAGACTGCTGCATGCATCGCCCCTCCTTTCCGAAGCCATTTCCCACGTGCCCGCTCGAAAGGTGCACTGCCAGCGTGGCGTGTCATGCCAAATCCCCCGCTGCACGCGTGCCCGCGCGAGGATGGCGCACGTCTCGCATGGCAGCGCGTTAGTGCCTGAACCCTCATTCCATGCGCGCCCGCTCAAGGATTGCGTAATTCTGGGACGGCTGGGAGCTCCTAGACCGCTCAGTCTCAAGGGTCGCGCACCTCCCGCATCCACAAGCGCTGCTCCCAAGCGCTCCAGCAGGGCCTCCCAAGCCACGACCCCTCGATTAAAAGAACAGAGAATAGGCTTCCCGAGCTTCCAAGACGGCCCACGCAAGCAACCAAAGACACTAAGATGGCCCAGCATGCATCGAAAACGACCCATGATGGCCACAAGGCGGACGAATATTGATTCAAGACGGCCCAAAATGCTTTCAAGAGGGCCCGGAAAAGGGGTACAATGCACCGGAAAAAGCCACATGAATTGACTTCTTTTTGCGTCGTTTGAATGATGCTCGCGTTCACGCCGTTTCGGGCCGCCGTCGGCTAAAGAAGGCCCTTCCTTTCGTTCCCTCGGTGGCTTGAGGCGTTTCACGTTCTGTGCGTGTGAAACTATGCTAGCTGCATATTGCGCCGGTCTTGACAGCTCCTGCTGCCAAGGGTCTGACATGCCCGTCCTTGTTCCGCCATCCTGCACAGAGCCCTGTCGTCCTTGTCCAGGGAATCCACAAGGTCGTCGGTGAGAGGCTATATATCCCCCGAGCGTCGCATCTTTGTGCATGCGTTGGGCGGGGGTCCCACGAGGTGACGAATGCAGCGGAAACGCTGCTGGAAATCAATGTTTGCACACTGGGCAAACGCCGTCCGCCTTAACGTAACTCCTCGCTTCGTTCATGACGCCGCGAACGACGCGCCGATGTTGCACGAGCCCCAGCCTAGTTGTGCAGGCTGGCCGGTTGGGCCCAGGGCATATGTTGCAAGCGAAATCGAGCTGCACCCATTGCGGCGCGGCACAACTGTCGCACTTGGTCTCTGCGGAATTAACCGCGTCTGCGGCATTGTGCCAACGCTGGCTTGGGCTGCAGATCAGATCCAACCGCTGCCCTGCAATTTCGCCGGGGCCCCGCAGCTCGGAACACCCGCTGCTCAAGTTTTGCGCGGTGACAAATTCCTCAAGCACCTCCCGCGTCTACGGCATCGTGTGTCCGCTGCGCCTCGACGACAGTGGCGCCAGCAGCTGCGTTCTGCCAAGGAGGAGGAGCCTCCGAAGGTGCCGCAGTCTGGCCTGCGTAGCTAAGCGATAGATATATGCTGTTCCTAGAGATTGCCTCATCCACAATGCGTTCCAACACTATGATGTAAGCTCGGTTTAACGCGTGCACAGAATGTGCGTCTGACGCGAGGGCGTGCGCAAGGAACATCAGTTTTGGCAGCGCGCGCGCCTGCAAGGCGTGCATCGCTGAGGCAACTGATTTGTTCGGGGCACAGCGAACACGGATCGAAAGTGGCGCGTGTGCGCCCATGCAAGCAGATGCTCTCTTTTCAGCATCAAGTTAGCATTCTCCTGCAAGTGGGACAACCAGCCTCATATGCTTATACTTCGACGCGATGGACAACTTGATGGCGTCGCCGTGGTTAGATTTTACGTGCGCGACGTCATCGTGCCTGTGTTGTTCCCAATGCGCGCTGGCGCTCTTGCCGCTAACCACAGCATGCACTCCGTCTTGCCCGAAGCCAAATTGATCACCATCGCGCGCGAATGAAACATCCGGCGCAGCATTTCTAGCAATGTCTGAGTTGCGCGGTCGAGCAGCTGGGGGGCACAGCCATCAGCGCGATACCCAAGGGGACCCCACGATGGCCCAAGAGGCATCCAAGACGGCCCCGAGACTGCCCAAGAAGGCCTCCCGCGGGGCCCTTCGGTTGCCCAAGACGGCGCCATGACGGCCCCGAAACACCCAGGGCACGGCCAAGAGTGCCAGAAGACGGCCCAAGAGAGCCGCAAGCCAGCGTAAGAGGGCCTCAAAACGGCCCACTTGGGCCCAAGGGATTCGCAAGACTGCCTCACACGAGGCCATGAGAGACGCAGGACGGCCCAAGAGAGTCTCATCATGATCCTGATCACGATCATGATGATGATGAAGATCAGTATCAGCATCATCAGCATCGCCAACATCATCACCATCATCAGCAACACGATCATCATCAGAAGCATATCGTCATCGTCATCATCGTCATCACCATCAGCTTCGCCATCGTTATCATCGACATCAACATCATTCTGACCGACGCCATTGCCGTCGTCTCCGCCGTCGTCGTCATCCTCCGTCTCGTCCTCCTCGTCCTCATTACAAACCCAATCATCGCCATCGTCCGCATTCTTCTCATAAGCATCACCAGTGATCCACATCACCAGCACCATACCATCATCTCATCGTTCCCACAATCACCGCAGCACCAACATCGTCACCATCATCATAATCATCATCAGCATCATCGTCATTCTCACCACCATCTCATCATCTCCGCATTGCCACCATCAACAGAACCAACACCACCACCAACAACGCCTTGATCATCACCATCATCATCACCACCACAAACATCGCCACCACCATCATCATCAGAAGCCTCATCATAATCGTAATCGGAATCGTCTTCGACAACCTTCCTTTCGTCCTCAGTACCACCGCCCTCGCCAGCATCGCCATCATCATCACCAGCACCATCCTCATCATCATCTTCATCCGCATCCTCATCAGCATCGCCATCATCATCGCATCATTCTCACCATCACTATCTCCAACACCATCGCCGTCACAAGACGCAGTGCCACCACCACCTGCACCACCATCATCATCAACATCAGCATTATCAGGATCAACGTCGTCGTCCTCGACATCGTCGTCGTCGTCCTCCTCCTCATCGTCATCAACACCATAACCACTATCATCGTCATCAACATCATGATGATTTCCGTGGCCAATAAAACGATATCTCAGAGCGGTTCAATGCAAGCTTGCCGCCACAAGTTACAGAGAGCTTTGAAACTGTGTCCCAGGGAGGGTTGGGTCGGGAACAACAGAAGGCTATGGAGCATGGAGCGGGCGCGGCTGCTATGCACTGCTACCTTTCCCCCTACTCGTGTCTCAGAACGCCCCCCAGGTCATCATTACTGCGCACGCACTCTCATGATGATTTCCGTGGCCAATAGAACGACATTCCAGAGCGATTCAATGCAAGCTTGCCACCACAAGTCACAGAGGGCTTCGAAACTGCGCCCCGTACTTCCCCAAGAGAACGTCCCCAATCGCACAAAAATGTTTTGGCCTCGGGCGGGCTCGGGAGGGAGAGGCCGTCGTTCCCGGCCGGGATGTCGATCGTGCCATTGAACATGCCGCATGCTTTCGGGCCCAAAGGGATCTGAAGGTGTTCGCAACGGCGGAGCACAAGCGGGATGGGCAATGTTTGGCACGGTCAGTCTTCCAGCCACTTTTGTCTTTCATCTCTATGTGTGCATGAGGCTTACCCGCGCGCGAGCACGCGCCTGATTTGCCGCAGCATTTATGCTGCAGGAAGGAGTCGTCAAAATCTGAAGGCACGATGAGGCCCGTCCGCTTCCTGAAGTCAGTCCCGAACTGGCACTGGTCGAGAACAACAAACTTTGCAAACTTCGAACTGCTGAGGTGCTTCAGAAACGGAATGGACCAAAGCATGGATGAGGCAGGGTTCTCTATCATGAAGGGTACATCATATCGAATAGATTGCCGAACGAGTTTGCATGTTGCCTTGGCGAGTTGGTTGCCCTCAATGCACACCTTCCTATCCTTATCAGAGAGATTCGAGAAGCCCCAGATGTGAACAGGAGAACGGACAGCACTGGGCATAGCCGAAGCGGGAGGGGCTCTTCTTGAAATGCTGAAGGATCGGCAAGGCGTAGCCTGGCATATTACCTTCACACGGCCTGAGCTCACCAGCTTCAGCAGGGCCTCCATCACTCCTGGCGCGAGCAGGTCGAGGCTGCTCTGTATCTCCACTTCTAGCGACGAGATGCCACACCTCGCCACCGCCTTGCCGACCCCCTCGGAGCCGGCAGAGATGTCAAGGAAGATGTCGCCGCGATCCAACCGGGCGGTCGGGGCGCGGGGGCCGTGCCGAGGAGGGTGCTGCCAAGGTCCGCGCAGCAGAGACTGCGGTGCTCCTGGGCGCTGTCGTCTAGGTTCACCAGCATGGAGTTCCCTTGCTCGACTTCTCGCACCTGATGAGCGAGCTGATGCTGGCCCAGCGCCCGCGACGTTGCAACTCCAGCTGCGACCTCCTGCCCGTGATGACGTCCCACGAAGGGCCTGCATGCCGCAGGCTGTGGGGCACGATGCCCAGGCCCTCGAGGTTGCACACCTTGAGCGCCTTGGCGATCATGGCCCCGAGCTCCGCCTGCGCGAAGCTGCACAGCGGCTCGTCGGGGGCCTTCCCGCGGCGGTGCAGCTCGAAGAAGTGCCCGAGGAACTGCGGGTTCTCGTGGTCCATCGTCACGTTGTCGTCGCACACGCCGGTCTTGGTCGGGTCGCCCTGGCCGTCCGACGGCCCGAAAATCAGCGACCACTTCTGGTGCTCCGCCCCGTAGTCGCGCACCCGGAGACCACGCAGCTCCCCTGGCCGCAAGTAGGCGCTGAGCGCGACCAGCACGGCCACCGCCATGTCCGTGTGGCTCAGGAGGTGAAGGCCCACCGCCAGACCGCAGATCGTTGGACACGGCGGTGGCAGTCGGCCCAGCGCAGGCCGCCGACGCCCCCGAGCCTTCAGGCACCTCTCGAACCTGGCGAGCGGCTTGGTGTTGGGCCTTTGGAGGTTCGGGTAGTAGTGCAGGACAGCCGCCTTCAGCTTCTCGCCGTCGTGCTTCTTCCTGCCCTCCAAGAGTGCGTCGCCCGCCCAGTCCAGGAGCGCTGCCTCTGGGGAGTCCAGGGTGCAGGTGCTCAAGCCCTGGCGGCGGACGAACCCATAGAACTCCTCGATCCGCCGGTGGTAGTCCTCGACCTGGACAGGCCTCACCGCGACGCTGTCGAGGTAGGAGAGGCCTCCGCTGCTGGCAGATCGGCGCGCGGCAGCCTGCCTTGTCGAGGCTGCGACCCGCGATCTCCGCGAGCCGCCTGGGCGCTCGGCTGGCATCGCCGGGGGGCGGGGCAGGATCGCCTGCTCGGATGGTCCTGGCCCTGCGTCCACCAGATGGGAACAGGAAATGGAACCCCTAGCCCCGATCCCGGCAATTTTTGCCCCCCCCCCAAGGGTGGGTATGTCAGTGAATGCGAATTAACCGCATGCGACGTACCATCGGCACGGGGGGATGACACTCCCCCGCTCTAATTGACACGCGCGCACACGCACACACGCACACACGCACACACGCACACACGCACAAACGCACACACGCACGCACACACACGCACACACGCACACACGCACACGCGCACGCACGCACACACGCACACACGCACACACGCACACACGCACACACGCACCCACGTACACACGCACACACGCACACACGCACACACGCACACACGCACACACGCACACGCGCACACGCACACACGCACACGCGCACACACGCACACACGCACACACGCACACACGCACACACGCACACACGCACACACACGCACACACGCACACACGCACACACGCACACACGCACGCACGCACACACGCACACACGCACACGCACACACGCACACACGCACACACGCACACACGCACACACGCATACACGCACACACGCACGCACGCAACAATCTAAAACAACAAATGTTGCAGTATTGATGGCGAGGTGGACGCGGCGAGGAGAGGGAACGAGCGGCGAGAGGGAGAGGCGGCTATTGGAGGGCGGAGGGGGAGCGCGAGGGAGGAAGGGGGGCAAGAGCAGGCTTGGATGAAGGTAAGCGCGAGGGAGAGGGAGAGGCGGTCGTTGGAGGGAGGAGGGAGAGCGCGGGGGAGGAGGGGGCAAGAGCAGGCGAGGAGGAGGGGAAGGCGCGGGGGGGCGGCGGCGGGGGAGGAGGCGAGGGAGGAGGAGGAGGAGCACGCCGACACCAGCTGGCAACGCGGCGCGCGGTCTGGCGCGTCTGGCCCGTCTGGCTGGCGACCGCCGCGCGCGAGAGCACGATCCTGTATCGTCGGCCCGTCGCGCACGAGCGCCGTGCGGATTGGCGAGGTCTCCATCATCCTCTTCCTCTTCTTCATCCTCATCCTCATCCTCATCCTCCTCAACCCCTCCTCCTCCCCATCCTCTTCCTCCTCATCCTCCTCCTCCTCCGTCTCGCCAGTGGCCGTCTGGCCCTCAGTCGATGGCGACGCTGCCGGCGACCTCGCGGAAAGGGAGGAGGAGGAAATCTGCAGAACGAAGCCTGGGAGGTCGGCGGGAGCGGGGGGGGGAGGGGGGCATGATGGAAGAGGAAGCCTTGGAGGGAGGAAGCAGCCTCGGAGGGGCAGTAGAGGAATGTGCAAACAACAAAAAAAACTCGGGGGGGGGGGGGGGCATGGGGAGGGGACAGGTCATGGTTAAGAGGGGAAGCGACGAGATGATGGGGCAGCCGAGCGGAGGACGGGCGCAAATAATTGGCAGAGCGAAGCATGGGGGGGGGGGGGAGCGGAGCGGGAGGGGGTGGGGCGGGGCAAGGGGGAGGGGCTGGGGAGGGGCAGGAGAGGAAACGTGGGTGGAGGATGCGAGGGGGGACGCAGGAGAGGAAGTGGGGGGGGGGGGGGGGGGGGAGGAGAGAGGGGGCGGAGGAGGAGGAGGGGAGGTGGAGGAGGAGGAGGAGGAGGAATGGGGGAGGAAGAAGATGAGGAGGGGGAGGAATAAGGACCTTCACCTGCTCCTCGCCGTTTTCAGCTTGCGGCTGGGCGGGGCGCTGTGCGTCTCGATCGCCGCCTGCGCCTCGGTGTCGATCATCACCCTGATGCCGTCGGAGACCCACCTGTTGGTGTGGGCGAGCAAGTTCGGAATGGCAGCGGGGTGCACCGTCAACTTGCGAGAGGCGATCTCTTGCTGCGCCCACGTGCTGATGGTCCAGACGGCGAGCCTGCCGACCTCGCAGATGAGCTCAACCCGCTCGGGCGTCGACAAGCGGCTCATGCCCTCGACCACGACCAAGTCGTACTGCGTACCGCCAGCGCGGAACTTCTCGGGGGCGTCGGTCACGGCTGGGAACGAGTCGCAGATGTGGTTCGTGAAGAAGTCGACCGCCCACCACCCCGCGACGTCGCAAACCTTACCACGCGGCACATCATCACCCCACAAGACTGCGGCGACCCACCACTTCATCGGCGCGCCATTCGGAGGGTCCGCGTAGCCCACCTGCACGTCGCTCACGTCCAAGCCCTCCGCGGGCGCGAGGGCGACCGTCTGCCCGAAGTCCCAGGCCGCGCACACGCGCACCTTGCGGCGCTCGCTGTCTCCAGCCAGCAGTGGGGAAATGCAAGGGGCGATAACATGACCGCTGATGTCACGCCCGCTGTCGCGCTCCCACCTGCCCGCGGGGCCATCCCCAACCTACCCCTCGCCTCCTCTGAGAACCCTGGGCTCTCACGGTAGGGGCAGCATGTAGCCGAGGACCGCCCGCCAGCAAGCACGCGCACCACAGCGCGAGGACATCAACGACCAGGGGCAACCAGACCAACGACCCCCCTGCATCCTGCAAGTTACGAACAAGCAGTGACGGCCCATCAAGCGATGAGCCACTCATTGCGCGGGCGTCGCAGGCGTGGCGAGGGAGGCCACAAATACAAGTATGCATGTGGGACCTGGGATGGGAAGCGGCCAAGCCCTGAACAACACATATTTCATGACGGGAGAGGTTGACACGTGCACGCGCGCACGTGCCAATGCCCCCCCAAGAGCCGAGCCCATTGCGCGCGTGATGCAACAGGCTCGGCCCAAGCTGCAACAACGCATCCACATCTCGAACGTTCCCCTCGGTTACACTTCGCCAAAATGGTAACTTCGCTGCCCTCGCAATTCTGAATCGGCAAGCGCTGGTCACAACGCGCGGCAGATCCATCGATGACTGCGCCCTCCCCCCCCTCGGGCGTCGGAAACGAGGGGCGGATGCCATCGCACTAAGTACAAGGTCCATTCATCTTGAGCCCCCACCGAGTTTCTGATCTACAAATCAGCAGCCGCACGCTGAGGCTCAGCGCGGACTGCCCTGAGCCCAGGCCATCGAACGCACTCAACCCACGAAAGCCCCCCATCCCCGACGGGCGGAGGAACCACCGAGGAAAGGGGATGCACCTGCGTGCGTGTTCGGCCTCCAGGGGCCGTCGCCCAACACCAGGGCCCTGGAAAAAATCGGGGTCAATGGCTTAATTAAGGACAATGCCGAATGACCCGAAGACATATAAAATGACACTGCGGGAGCGATCGGGACAGGGCCCTGGGAGGGAGGGGGGCGGAGGGAGGAGGAGGGTGACGGGCAGGAGGGCGCGGAAAATGAGGAAAGGAATTACAATCATTCCCCTGCCTTGCCGCGCGCCAGCCCGCGCGCCTGACGCGGAGGGCAAGCGCGTCGGCTTGAACTCGAGGCCCTCTTCTGGCGCCGAGGTAGCGCGCGGGCGCCCCAAGCCCGCGACCCCGCGGAACAGCAGCGCCCAATACGGCAGTACGAACGCCAGAGGCAAGAGGGGAGGAGGACCAAGACCAAGAGGACACGTCAGGTGCAGAAGGGGCACGACGACGAAAACGGTAACTGCCGCCATTGGGTGACTGCCGTGCCGCTGCTTGGCGGACACAGGCGGCTGCAGCCATCCGTGCCCTACCTCCTCCTCCTCCCCCCCTCCTCTCTCTCTCTATCTCTCTCCCTCTTGTTTATCCCGTCCTCCGTGCGGGCCGCTTCCGAAACCGACCGCCCTCAGCTCAGGTTGACTCCGACACGATAGCGCCCTGGGTCTTCGCAGTACTAGGATCAACGCCGACTAATTCCGTTTCCAAGGTTTTGATTCTCTTCCGAGCCTCGGATAACTCGTGCTCCAATCTCTTAACCTTTACTTTCTCTTGATCGAGGTCAACTAACAGCTGTTCGGCATGAGATTCGTGCTTGTGCGCCAGTAACTGGTACTCTTCTAGCCAACCAAGACACTTCGTGTGCATCTCCAGCTGCTGCCCCATCACCTCAATGATCCGGTCTCCCCACGCATGCCCCTACGCCCCCCCCCCCACGCATGGCCTTACTACATGCATGCCTCCACGCAGACCACCAACCCACCCACCCCCAACCCGATAAATGACCACACAATTCTGTCCCGCTCACCGTGTTGAGGTCACCCATCGCGCGGTCGAACCTAGACTTGACCTCGGGGAGTGAAGTAGATGCAGCGTCGGCCATCTTCTGAATCAAGCGGGCGAACGGCGGCAGATGGGGTCTGGCTTGGGGTATACCGCTGCGGAAAGGGACGGGGCGGCGTCGACGCACCGCAACCCTGGTGGCTAGAAAATGCATATGGCCCCCAATGTCGGTCGGCTCATGTATCGCTTTATCGGCTCATGGGGGTTATAATGTTATGGCATTGGCTAGATTGGAATGCTTGGGTTGCTCATCGTGTTTCTAAGGCACGTATTACATATGCTGTGTGTAATGCGTATAGGGCGTCCAACGCTTATTGGAGTCAGAGAGAAGTTATGGCGTAGGAGGTGTACCGTGCTTGGAGAGCAGATCGGGCATATACTGGCTAAGGTGCGTATACGGAGCAACTTAATTATACGACTTCTACAGGGTATGGGACCTACCTGGATATATAGCTTATGCGCATTACATCGCCTATGTGCCTTGAGCAAATTATAGACCTTATATATATATATATATATATATATATGTCGGACGCGGCTTATGCCAGAGCGCTTATAAGGGGAACGCGGCCAATGGCTACATGGCGTGTAACATCCATCGGGGCTGTAACACGTATAAGGCTCGCAGGCCCTGCAGAGGTTTTCTAGGGCGCATCGCCCGCGCAAGCGTTATAAGGCTGACGAGGCTTAGGATCACAACAAAGCTTACGAAACTTCGGCCTAAAACTTCGGACAAAGCTGACACTGCTCTTTAACCTCGTACTGCCTATACTAGCGGCTGTCGTGCTGACAAGGGTCGTATCGATCACACGGCTGAACAAACTTATATGCCTACAGCTTGGACGATGCACGTGTCTTACAAATATTACCATGCGTCTATGGCTAGTGCTCGTACAGAACATCGCACACGCTGGGGCACCTCGGGCCCGCTCGAAAACGTCATCCCCTTGCCCCCCCACCGAGGGGCTGGAACAATCGGACGCCGTGAAGGGGGGAGGCCTTCGTGCTCCCTCCAACGGCCCCTCGGGCCCCCTCGACCCCCTTCCTCGCAATAGTTGAGGCATGCGCGGGGCGCCCCGTGCCGCCGCGAGGCCGCCCGCCCCCGCAGGGGAAGGGAGGGGGGCGACATCTGCGCAGGCGGACGCTGGGGGGGTGGTCAGGAGGAGGTGGGGAGGAGAAGGAGGAGATACCTGGCGCGGTGTTCAGCTGCCACGGCGATGCAAAACTCCATAAGTGTAGCAAGCGAGCCTCCGCGCCAATAGCCAGCCCATCGCTATTCGACTTACCTAACGCTCGACCGCCGCGGGCGGTGCAACACTACGACCGTGCGCGCGCTCAACGCCCTCGCGTCGAACAGCGCACTCGAGTCTGGCGGGCGGTGATCCCGCGGGGGAGAGATGCTGAAGAGGACTCTGGGAGGATATGGGGGGAGAAATAGGCTGGATATGACCATGTGAAGCGGATGGCCAGCGGACTGATTGGGCCACTGGCTCCCAAAAGCTTCCGCCTGGGTGTCAGCACCTGCCTCGGCCGCCACATCTCTTAAAACCTGGCTCTGCGCATTGAACTGCTGGTCGCCGAAAGGGCTTGGCAACTCGCCCTCCCGAACAATGCCCGATGGGTCGTAAGCTGCCAAACGCGCACTGCTACGTAGCCGGATGAGGTTACGCCTCGGGGTGCTCGCGACCGAGGCAACTGCAGCAAGCTCGGCAAACGGCGCAACTGCAGCAGGCGCGCCCATGACCGAGGCCGACGCGGCAGGCACGGGAGGAGGCGGGCTGTCCTCGACGCAAATGGGCGCCTGGCGTTCAGCGATCGTGTCACCCGTCGCCGCCCTCGTGGGGGATTGGCACACCCTGGCAGATTTAAATGGGCGGACGTTGCTCTCGTCACATCCGTGACTCGTGGCCGAAGCGGGCGCAGCAGGCTCGGCAGCAACAGCGGAAGATGCAACAGTGCCAATCCTACTCGTACCGTCATCATCGTAAGGCTGCGTTCCCAGTGAAGATCCTCTGTCGAACCTGGCAGCCTCCACCTTCCACTGAGACTGCTCAAAATGCGCGGGCGGGTCACCATCTGGATCAGGTGCTGCGTGGCCATCTGGAGCAATTGCCGGCAATGGCGATGTGTGACCATCTGAATGAGGTGCTGGTGCAGGGCGATCATCTGGACCAGGAGCAAGTCCTGGCACTGCAACTGCGGGAAGAACTGGATCAGGCGCAGAGGATGCCGCCCCCTCAGCCGAAGGAGGCGCCCCACCGATGATCGTAATGTGACGCGGAAGGCTACGAGCAGACACAAACGTATCTGGAAGCTCGGGGACGGTCAAAATCATGTGGCTCGAACCGCTGATCGCGACGCGGGGTCCTAGTGAACGCGCTGCCTGGTTAGCCCCTGCGCCGTCTGCCATTGCAAACGCCGAGTGCGGGGGCGCAGTGCGCTTCTGAAAAACCTGAAGCACAAACAAGCTGAGAGCTAAAGGGAGCAGGGTGCGTGCGATGCCCTATACCAATTAAATGTGGAATGCGTGCGCGAATGAAAGCGTGCGCGTGTTACCCCAGACGTGCGATAAGTGTGCTTACAACTTACAATTGCCATATTGCCTGCACCCCCGCCCCCTACTGCTGGCCCAAAGAAAACAACTTACGTGACGATCTGGGTTTCGGGACACGCATCCAGGCACCGAGACGCCATGCCAACGCACGGAACTACTATGTCGTATCAATGCTTGCACACGTGGCCCCCAACACTCGAAACGGTTTTCCGACGCAGGCGGCCCCTATCCCCAGGAGTCCGAAACTCAATCAGATCAATGCGCAGCGTTGGCCGACGCGGGCGCTTCAGTCGAGGAGTCCTGGAATCGGGCAGTGCGCCCGCGGCAGACGGTGCTCAATGAGGAACCCCTCCCATGCCCGCTTGCAAACGTCCTGCAAAGCAAGCAAGCTCGACCCGCCGAACTGGCTCCAAGCGGCCCTCCCGCGGCGATTGAAGTCGGGCTGATTGAAGTGCCAAGCCCCTACCTTGTTAGCACGCCAAAGGTATGTTTGCGGAGGTATGAATGCCTTTGCTCTCTCCTGGGACATGTCATCAGCGGGTGATAACGGCACGGTGGGGTATTTCTTCTTGTACAGAGGGTGCAAAGGGTTCGTCTTCCCAGGCGGCTTGCCGAAGACGGCCGTCTGGACAGATCGGCGGCATTTATCTAGCCGCACGGCGCGAAAAAGACTCGTGGCGGTGGGCGGCCCGCGCAAGCAACTAAGGCCTTCAAGCGAAAAACAAACACATATGGGCTCCCCTGAACAAAATTGGCAGACACCGCAATAAAAAAAACAAGCGTGGCTCGGGAGCAACGCTCGGGGAACTATCAGACGAAACGCTGCCCCGAAAACCTGCAAGCACAAGAACCAAGACTGAACTGTCTAACAGATTTGTGTGGGCAGGCGGGTTCACGAACTCGCGCCTCCCTTCTTCCTACACACTAGCCTGGCGAAAACCACATGCAACTGCGAGTGCAGCATTGTGGCACCGCGTTCCGTGGAGCTTCCTTGGGGCCAAACTGTGAGGAGCGTGCCGAATTAAGTGCGAATGCCATGCGAACCCCCCCAATAAGGCCTTCGGTTGAGCTCCCTATGAGGCCCTGGACGGCGTGAAGGTTGTGCCAAATTGTGCGCGGTGGTGCCATGCGAAAACCCCGCTGGGGCCTTCAACCCAATGGGGCCCCTATGAGGCCACGAGCCGTGCGCGGGCATGCCGAATCATTGCCTGCGGTGGTGCCATGCGGACCCTCCCAAGGCCTTCGGCGGGGTTCCCTTTGGGGCCACGAAATGTGCGAGAGGTGTCCCGAATTAAGCGCAGTGGTGCCACGCGAACCATCCCACTGAGGCGTTCGGTGGTGCTCCCTGTGGGGTCACAAAACGTGTGAGGGGGGCGCTGAACTGGACGCGATGGTGCCATGCGAACCCTCCTACTGGGGCCTTCAATAGGGGTTCCCCATGGGGCCACGAACCGTGTGAAAGGTGTGCCGGATTGGGCGCGGTGGTACAATGCAAACCCTCACACTTGACCTTTCGGTTGAATTCCCGATGGGGCCACGAGCCGTGCGAAGGGCGTGCCGACATGGAAGCGGTTGTGCCACGCGAGCGCTCCCAGGGGCATTCGGTGGAGCCCCCTATGTGGTCACGATTCGGCTGTCCAAGATTGCCATATATGGTCCCAGCAATACTTCAGGAGTCCACGATGGCCTCCATGATGGCTCAGGATACCTGAAGATGGCTCAAGATAGTCTCCCACGCGCATCCCAGAGGCCTCGCGCAAGGACTGTTGCAAGTTCCCCGCGGGCCCTCCAAGCACACCCCTACCCAACACAAAACAAACCACAACACATAAAGATCACCACTATTAGTTTGGCCGTCTCGGCGTTTCGGGCCCGATGGGCAATGCTGCCACAGGACCCCTCCCCCCCCAGGATTGACCAAAAGAACCTCATGCGAAGCTCAACGGAGCCTTAAGAGCGCCCCATGAGAGACCAAGAGCGCCCCAAGAGCGCCCCAAGACGACCCCACGACGTTAAGGTTGAGCCTCCAAGATGGGGAACCGAATATCCCCCCCCCCCCCCCCTCTCGTTGAGCCACACGAGCCAGTGCGGCCCCAGAGCCCCCGTTTCAGACCACCCGAATGAATTCCTAAAGGGATCCAACCCACACCAAAAGAGCCAAACGAGGGCCCCAGGAATGGCCCAAGAAGCACAGTGCGTACCCCAAGCGAACCCGAAGAGGGCCGCAGCAACAGACTTCCGATAAAGCTCTCCCGCTACTGCTGTGACAATGTATTACTTACTCCCATCACTGATCGATGCGACTCGTCTGGCGATATGGGTACTGGATTGACTGGTGGGGATACCCGAAGCGTCAGGGATTCAGGAAGCCCGATCACCACTGACACCAATACTGGGCAAACTACAATCATGAATGCAAATCTATACAGAAACGAAAAACAGCGCAAACGCTGACGTCAACACCTGAAGCAAATCCCTCCACTGCAACATAACAAAAACATAAACGCGTCCTTCCACTTGCATACCTCGTCGGTGAACTCGGTGCGCTGGGACTTGATGGCCTTCGCTGCTTTGCACTCCTGCAATACTTCGTCTGCGAGACCTTTGTCAAATACATCGGTCACCCATTCAAGATGGAGGGGGTCCTCGATAGAGTCGTCCATGTGGAAGGAGCCAGTCCTGGCGAAGAAAGCCTGGTTGATGATGAGATCGGTACAATCGGGAACGACGGCGCGGCAGAGGGTCTTGATCAGGGTGGCCAACGACGCACTGGGGTAAGCAACTTCTCTGAAATCACAGAAAGTTCCTTCAAGTAACTGACGGGCAGGGTCCAGAAGCCGTGCCGACAAGCAAGTTCCAAGAGAGGGATCGGCTCGCCGACGGCCAAGAGTCCGATGCACAGCTCCCCGAACGCGTCAGACGCCTGAGGCGCGGCAGCAGGAAAATCCAATGCCTCAGGCGCGCCGCCGAGCAGGCGCCCTCCTGGTCCACTGCGGCGCAGGGGGCGAACGACGAGAAGGCGGGGGCGACTGAGAGGGCGCTTTGGCTGGGAGAATGGAGGTGGGCCGACTGCCCCACTTCTTCGCCCACCACGCCCAGCGATCCCTCGCGCGCCCCCGCCCGCCCGTCGCCGACCGACCGCGCCCAATGAACCAGTAGGGGGGGGGCAGCTCTGCGGTGCACCTGGGGCAGAGGATCATCTGGCCACCTGGCCTTGAGGTCAACCTCCGTCGCGGCGGTGGCGTTGTCCAAGTCGCTCATGGTCTGCAAGATGGCCTGGTGCAGCGGGGAGGCGTACTTCACCGAGAGGCCCTCCCACTCGGAGGGGTCGAAGATGACGCGCAAGTCCCTGTGGCCGTAGTTGTTCACCTTGTAGCTGCCCTCTGCTGTGGATACAACTGGCCATGTCACGACCAAGCAACCATCAACACATCCCAAACCGAGGCGCCACTCAGCATCGTCAACCTTGCGAACGAGAATGTTCGGCTGAACGAGTTGGCTATAGAACTTCGCTGGAACGTCCGCCATCTTGCCTCGAGCATGAGCTTGCCGAAGAACCTCCAAGTCGGACAAGGCCTGCGCGTGTCCACAAGCCTGCGGTGACCACCAAAACGCATCGCCATATCCAGAAATCTTGTACAAGCCGAGATCCTCCGTCTTTTTGTCCAGGAACCTGCGCTGCAGCTGAGGCTTGAACGTCGTGGGGGCAAACATCGCTGCCCTGGCTGGCTGCACCTGCTGGGGATCAACTTCCTCGAACTTGTGCGTGACCCTTACCACTTCCGAGTCGATCACAGCCGCCATCGCCAATTTCGGGCAACTCAACGTGTTGGACTGTTTGTCGATCTTGGCTTTCGCTTTTCCGAAGCAGTCCTCGATGATCTGAGAAGCGATGTGCCGCCGGATCTTGGTCTCGAGGTGGCCCGCGAGCCTGCAAGCAAATGTTGAAGGATGGGAGGGGGAGGAGGAGGAGGAGAGGAGGAGGAGGAGGAGAAAGGCTCGAACGGAGGACGATACGAAGCGGCGAGGTCGAAGGGGGCGGCCCAATGGAGGTGGGAAAGAACGGAAGACGAGGGTGGGAGAAGGAGGGCGCGGATGAGGAGGATAATGAAGAACAGGAGGGGGAGGCGGAGGAGAAGGAGAAGGAGAAGGACGACGACGACGACCATGGTGTAAGGGGGAGGAGGGGGAGGCCTCGGAGTCACCTTCCAGTCCTCCACGCCCAGGCATCGGAGGAGCTGCTGGTTGCACATCTTGCGCATCACGTGCCCCTGCCTCATCTGGTCGCTGCCCTCGAAGGTTGCTTTCTGGAGCTCCATGTACAGGAAGCGGTCGTGGCGCAGCTCGTCCAGGAAAGCCTGCTGGACGGCCTCGTCCTGATCCAGGAGCAGGACCTGTCTGCGAGGCAACCCGTGGCTCCAGACAAGGTTCCTCGTCGCTTGCTGCATCGGCAAGTCCACGATGAGCCTGTGCAACATCTGGCAGTTCTCATCCTCCATCTGTACTCTAGGATCGTTCAAACAAATCCGCTGATCAACCCAGGTCGGAAAGATGCCCTCCTCAGAGTAGTGCCTGATGAAGTTCGCGTTCGTCATGGTGAGCTGCTCCGCGCGGTGGTAGAAGCCCTTGCACATCTTCAGCTCGTAGGGCTTGGTGGCGTCGGCGCTCCGCAACTCCTTGTTCTGCCTGGGAGGGGCGGGTGCGCATTCCTCCCCCGCCTCAAGCCTCCTACGGTCAGTCCCCCCCATCGTCCTCGCCGCCATCACCCCCGCCTTGGCGGGGGCAAGGGCGGTTAAATAAACCCAGGGGCGCTTGCCATGGAAAGTTGCAACAAGTGACAACACGTCGACGATCCGGCGCTGGCGGTTGAAATTAGAAATGTCGCCGAACAAGAAAGCGGCTCGGTCCAATTGGTTGGCGCACTTGGCATCGAATGACTTGTGCGACTGGGCCTTCAACGTGTTAGGAACGCACTCGACAACGGCACCTTCTGCAGGGTCTGGGTATGGCAGCATCTCTTTCGGCGGGGCGGTGGTCCTACGGTCAGTCCCTTTGAATCCGAGAGTCATGACAGCTGCGTTCAAGAAGTAAGCCTTCAACGAGAACAAATGTATAGTTTTCCCAGCGATAACAATGGGGGCCTGAAACTTGCCCAAGTGCACGCGCTCCGACTTGGTGTGTAAAAGTGAATGGTTACGCAAGGACTTCCAGAAAGCCTCAACCACCTCGTGCGTGCTGAGGTCGACCTGGGAAAAGGAAATGGTGAGGGGGGCGCTGGAGGACTCAGGGGGTTATCATTGGGCGGTGGGAGGAAGGAGAGAGATTCATGGGCGTGGGGACGGAGTTTGGAGAATGAGGGCATGCTTGGTTGCGCCGCCCGAAGTAAACGAAAAAGAGGAGCGCAGCATGGACGGTGGGGCGGGGCGTGGGGGAGGGTAATTCACATGACGAGGGAATGAAAAGAAGAGCCTAGAGGCGAGATAGGGCACGTCATCTAGGATTGAGGGAGGAGTCGAGCAGGTCCTAAAGGGTAGCATGGTGCGGAGGTAAGTTGGCGACACGCCGAAGTAGGAGCGAGATAGACAGATAGGAGGGCAGAAAGCATGACCTCCTTCATCTGGCGGCGGATGTGGGGCAAGTAAAACAAAAACAAGTCGTCCTGGTCGCAAGACCCGCACGAGTCCATGTGCTTCCAGACGCCCTCCCTGAGCTGCTTAAGTCTCGGAGGCGATAACGTCGAGCCGTACATGCAATTAGCAGCCGTAGACATTAATACGCCAGCCCTCAGGCCGCCAAGAGGTCTAACAACGCCCCCTTTCTCCCTTTCACCGCCCCTCCTTCCCCTCCGCTGAAAGTGCCCCCCTCCCCCCTCGTCCTCCCCCCCTGGAGGGCGGGGCCGTCCAGGAAGGGTTGGAACGCCCAAGCCGACCCAATTTGGCACTAAGAGGGCATTTGGTCAATGCCCCAACATGGCCTCCAAGGTTGCCAAGATAACCGAAGATGGCCATGTATCGTTTCGGACATGCCTGCCCAAAAGCAACAAAACAGCACATGCTGCCCCCTGGGCGCACATCCTGCCCCCCACCCCCTCATAAAAAAAATAAAGCAAATGAGCCTGGCGAAAAGCCCAACCACACGCAACTGCGAATATACAACAATGTCGGCAACGCCTTCGGTAGAGCTCCCTATGGGGCCGCGGACCGTGTGAATTCTGTAAATTTGGCGCGGTGGTGACATCCTCGCACTGATGTCTTCGGTGAAACTCCCTATGGGGCCACGAACCTTATGAGGGGTGTGCTGAATTTGGTGCGGTGGTGCCACGCGACCCCTTCCCACTACTTGGGCCCGCTGCACAACTCCCTATATATGGCCACGGAGCGTATGAGGGGGTGCCGAATGTTTGTGCGGTGGCGCCACGCGAACGCTCCCATTGGGGCATTCGGTGGACCCCCCTCCCCCCATGGGGCCGCGAACCGTGTGGGGGGCGTGCGGAATTGGGCGCGCTGGACCCACACGAATCCTCCAACTGGTGCCTTCGGTGGAACTCCTTGGGGCCAAGGACTGTGTGAGGGGTGCGCCGAATTAGGTGTGGGGGCCCCATGCAATTCCTCAAAAACCTTCGGTTGATTCCCCTATGGGGCCACGTGCGAACCGTGTGAGGGTCGTGGCGAATGGGCAACTGCGGTGCCATGCGAAGCCTCCCAATGGGGCCTTCGGTGGAGCCCCACGGGGCCACGGGCCGCGCGAGGAAGGCGCCGAATTAAGCGCGGTGGTGCCATAGAACCTCACCGCTGGGACCTTCGGTGGAACCCCCTATGGTGCTACGAAAACGTGCGAGGGGTGTGCCGAATTTGGCGCGGCGGTGCCATGCGCCCCCCCCCCCCCCGCCGGGGCCTCCAGTAGAAATCCTTATATGGCAACGGATCGTGCGAGGTGGGGAGTTTGAAGAATTGGGCGCGGCGGTGCCATGCGAGCCCCCCCACTGGGGCGTTCGGTGGAGCCCCCTATGGGGCAGAGAACATGTGTGAAAGGTGAGCCGAAATGTGCGGCGGGGACGCATACGGACACCTCCACTTGGGCATTCAGTGGAGCTCCATATGGCGCCACGAAAGGTGCAAGGGGGTCGCCGACATGGGTGGCGGGGGCGCATGTCGAAAGCACTACTGGGGCAGTCGGTGGAGCCCCCTGCGGGGCTGCGAAGCGTGTGAGGGGCGTGCCTACATGGGTGGCGGCGGCGCCTTTGGACACCGCCACTGGTGCCTTCGGTGGAGACCCCAATGGGGCCACATGTGTGTGCGTGTGTGTGTGTGTGCGTGTGCGTGTGTATGTGTGTGTGTGCGCGAGTGTGTGTGTGTGTGTGGGGGGCGTGGGGGCGTGTGGGTGGATGGGTGGTGTTGTGCGTGTGGCGTGTGTATGTGTGTGTGTGTTGCGGTGTGTGTGTGTGTGTGTGTGTGTGTGTGTGTGTGTGTGTGTGGGTGTGTGTGTGCGTGCGTGCGCGTGCGCGCCGCGTGCGCGCGCGGGGATGGGGGGGGGGGTGGGGGGGGCGGGGGGGGGGGGGGGGGGGGGGGGGGGGGGGGGGGGGGGGGGGGGGGGGGGGGGGGGGGGGGGGGGGGGGGGGGGGGGGGGGGGGGGGGGGTTGGGGGGGGGGGGTGGGCGGGGGGGAGAGGGGGGGCCGGAGGTGGGGCGGAAGTGGGGCGTAGGGGTGGGGCTAGTGGTGGGCTAGGGGTGCGTGGACGTGGGGTGGTTGGGGTGGGTGGGTGTGGCTGGGGGTGGGTTGTGGTGGGGTGGGTTGGGGTGGGGGTGGTGGTGGTGGTGGTGGCGATGGCGGCGGTGGCGGTGTCGATGTCGATGGCGGTGGTGGTGGTGCTGGTGGTGGTGTTGTGTGAGTGTGTAGGTGTGTGTGTGTGTGTGTGTGTTTGTGTGTGTGTGGTTGTGCTGGTGGTGATGATACTGGTGGTGGTGGTGGCGGTGTGTGTGTGTTTCTTGGTTTGTTTGTGTGGGTAGTCGTGCTGGTGGTGATGCTGCGAATGGTGGCGGTGGTGTGGTGGTGGTGACGGTGGTGGTGGTGGTGGTGTTGGTGTGTGGTTGTGTGTGTGGCGTGTGTGTGTGTGGTGCGTGCGCGTGTGTGTGTGTGGTTGGGGGTGTGTGTGTGGGGGGGGGGGGGGGGGTGGGGGGGGGGGGAGAGGGAAGGGGGGGGGGGAAGGGGGGGGGGGGGGGGGGGGGCTTGTGGGCGGGCGGTGTGGGCGGGCGGGCGGTGGGCGGCGGGCTGGGGCGGCGCGGCGCGACGCGCGCCGCGTGCGTGTGCGGGAGGGGGGGGGGGAGCGGGGGAGGGGTAGGGCGCGGGAGTGGTGGGGGTGGGGGGGGTGGGGGGGGGGGGGGGGGGGGGGGGGTGCGGGGGGGGGTAGGCGGGGGGCGGGGTGGAGGGCGTGAGTGGGTGGGGCTGAGGGTGCGTGGACGTGGGGTGGTTGGGGGCGGTGTGGGGTGTGGGTGTGGGTGGGGGAGCGTTGTGGTGGGGTGGGTTGGGGTGGGGTGAGTAGTGGTGGTGGCGGTGATGGTGGCGGTGGCGATGCCGATGTCGATGGCGGTAGTGGTGGTGGTGGTGGTGGTGTTGTGCGTGTGTGTTTGTGTGTGGTGGTGCTGGTGGTGGTGATGCTGGTGGTGGTGGTTGTAGTGGTGGTGCGTGTGTTTCTTGGTTTCGTTGTATGTGCGTGTGGTCGCGCTGATGGTGGTGCTGGCGATGGTAGTGGTGGTGGTGGTGGTGGCGGTCGTGGCGCGTGCGCGCGCGCGCGCGCGCGTGCGGGGGGGGGGGGGGGGGGGGGGGGGGGGGGGGGGGGGGCGGGTTGGGGGGGGGGGGGTGGGTTCAGCTGCGCGCCGCAACCACCCAATATCAAGGAAACGTCTGGCCCGCAAGCGTCTGATCACAAAGGACACCGCCCCCCTAACGACGTTGCGTAAAGAAAGCTGAATTGCTTCCTGGCATTGCGTAAAGTTGGAACGCCCGATGGGGACACAAAACCGCCAGGAATGGACAGGACGGCGGAGGGGGGGGGGCGGGAAGAGGGGGGGCAGACCTCGAACCGCCAAGTCAACACAAGACTCCTCCAAAACAAGACTCCTCCAAATCGCCGAGTCCAAAGCAAGACCCCAGTGGCGCAGGTTGCGAGCGCCACCGCCGCCCAGTTCGGCACACCCCTCGCGCGGTCCGCGGCCCCGTGGAGAGCCGCACCGAAGGATCCAATGGCACAAGCGGCATGCGCCAACGCCACCAATTTCGGCGCACGCCTCACACGGTTCATAGCCCAATAGGGAGCTCCACGGACGGCGCTAGCGGCGCAAGCTGCATGCGCCAACGCCACACATTTCGGAAGCCCGCTCACACAGTTCGTGGCCCCATAGGGGGCTCCGCCGCAAGCCTCATTGGCAAGGTGCGCGCGGCGGCCCCGCAGTTCGGCGCGCCCCTCGCACGCTTCGCGGCCCGATAGGGAGACCCACCGAAGGCCCCAATGGCAAGAGTCGCATGCCGCCCCCGCAATTTGGCACGCCCCTCACACGGTGCGTGGCCCCGCGGGGACTTCTCGCTGCTTCGTCCAGCCTGCCCTGCGGAACGCGCACTTGCAAAGCATATGGCTGGGACCGTCGACTAGATACTTGACATGTGGTCGAGCGCCAGGCTCCCTGGCGAGCTGCGCTATTTGGATCGGGCCCTGGGCCGAAGGAGGCCAAGGAGTCTGCGCGGCTGCGGGCGCGGGCGTGGATTGGGCGTCTGCATCAAGCCCTGCAACGGAGCGGGGCCTAGATGTAGACAACGCCACTGGAGCATCGGGCGGAGACCCATGTGGGGCCACGAGCCGCGCGAGGGACGCGTCGCAATGGGCATGCCGTGGGGAAGGGCCAGGAGAAGGCGGAGGAGGATGGGGAAGCGAAGGGGATTAACGCGGGGCGCCGTCTTTTCAAGGGGAGGACCCACCACTGTATGTTGGGACACACCTACCAATAGCCTGAAGGAAACCTCTGGCCTTCCCCCGTTCCGCTGCCGATGCGTCTGTTGAAGCATTAAGGGTGCCACCAAACATGCGCCTTACTACGCGCAAGAGAAACCCAGGACGCCGCCAAACAGAAACGCGCCGAATAACGCCCCAATGTAACCGCAATAGCGCTCCAAGGTGCGACTCTGGGGGCCCCATATGGGGGCGGGCGCCGAGGACCACCCAACCTCTTTTGACCGAATCGCTCCTAGGTGGCTCCGAGAAGCACCGCAAAGGCCCCAAGACGCCCCCAAGAAAAAACCAGAACGCCCCAGGGGGGCACAGAGACCCGCCAAAAGAGCCCCAAGACAACCCCGCTAAGGTTCAAAGGGCCTGGAAGGAGCCAGAGGGCAACGAGGGGGCCCCACCAGGAAACCAATGCGCTCCGAGAGCGCAGCGTCATCTGTACCAGCACTACCTGCAGCGGCAACACCACCGCGACAGCCATCACCATCAGCATCAACAGCAGCAGTACCATCAGTAGCCTCAGCGCCACAGCATCACCAGCAGCAGCAGGACAAGCAGCAAAACAAGCAGCAGCAGCAGCAGCACGAAAGGCATAATAGAAACATCACCACAAATAGCATCGCCGAGAGCAGGGGCGGCAGCACCGTCACCACCAACACCAACAGCCACATCAGCAGCAGCAGCGACACCACCACCACCGCCATGAGCGCCAACAGCAGCATCAGCAGCACCACCAGCGCCAACAGCACCACCACCAGCAACATCAACATCAGCACCATCATCATCACGGTCGGCAGCGCAACCAGCACCAACGTCACTAGCAGCACAAGAACCACGAGCACCCATCATTTACATCATCAAGAACACCACGCTCATTACGAATGCCAACAGCAGCAACAGACACCGCAGCAGCGGCGGAGGCATCAGCGCTAGCAACAGCAGCACCAATAGCAGCTGCACCAGCAGCGCAATCACAAGAGTGGTTGTCCTGACAGGGATACGCGAAGCGTAAAGAATACTTGAAAACGCCACAATCCCGTCGTCCTGCAATTGGGGGGGGAGGCCGAGAAAGAAGGGTAGGCTGAGGCAGAGAATCAGGATTAGGAAGATGAGGAGGAGGAGGAGGATAAGGAGGATGAGAAGGAGGAGGCGAGAAGGATGAGGAGGACGACGAGGAGGAGGAGCATCAGAAGCAGCATGAGCAGGGGGAGGAGGAGGACGACGACGACGGAGTGAGAAGGAAGACGGGGGAAGGAGGAGGAAGAGGAGGGTGACGACGACGACGACGACGACAAGGATGAGGAGAAAGAAATAGAAAGGGACGGCGTCGCACGTGGCGGGTCCTCAATGCGCCCTTCGACGCGTTGTTCAGCGTGTGGCTCTGGTCATAGTCGCACTGCAAGTTGATGTTCTTCTCATAACTGAGGAACGCATCTGTGGCTACCATATCAGGGCCCATGTCAGGAGAAATACACAATAAGCGCCAGTCGAAAGGATCTCCTGTGGGCTCGCCTTTCTCATCAACCTGAACCTGAAAATCGTGCAACATGAAGCCGCACGAGACTCTGAGCATATTGTCCGTCATCATCATCATCTGGTAAGCCTTCGTGCGGCGCCGTTTTTTGGGTGCGGGGTTCTCTCGCCCAGCTGCGAGGGCCTCCCCGACCTTGCGTTTGACGACGCTCCTCTGGGGGGGGAGGAGGGCGCAGAGCGCTGGGGGGGAGGAGGAGGGGGAGCGAGGGGGAGCTCGGGAGGAGGAGGAGGAGAGGAAGCCCGATGAGGAAGGGGAGGACGAGGAAAAGCATGCGAAGGATGAGGAGGAGGAGGAGGTCGTCGGGAGGCCTGCATCAGGGCAGCGGAGGAGGAGTAAGAGGAGGATGGGGCGCATGGCGAATAGGGCAACGGGGCAAATGGCAAGGAAGGAAAGTGCGGGGATAGGGGAGAAATCACCAGGGAAAAACGAGAGGGGACCCGCGAGGGGGAGGGGGCGACGGGAATGCGTTTTTTTTGTGGGGGGGGGGGTGTAGCAGCGGAAGAGGAGGATTGGGACGGAACTCCTGAAGTGCAAACGGTGCTTCTCCTCCAGCTCCGCGAGCTCCACGCTGTCGCAGAAACACTGCTCGGTGAGGCACTCCGTGGGGACCTGGGAAGAGAGGCGGGGGGGGGCGGAATCCCGAAAACCAGCCCCCCAGGGGCAGGATGGCAAGGTTTCGCTGGCCTGATTCCCGCGTGCCTGCAACGGGGGTTTCTCGTTAGAGGGGGGTCAACGCTCGAGCGGGAGCCGCGTGGCCGGCCGACCGGAAACCCCCACCCCCGTTCCCGGCAGAGCACCTGGGCGCTCCCTGGGAATTTTCGGGGCCCCTCCCACAGACGTTTCGGGGCCCCCATCTGGGCTCTCCCCCGCCGCCCTGTTCTGAACCCTCCCGAGGCCCCCAAGAAATCGAAAGGGCCCCCCGCCAGCCTGTTCTCTGGGCCCTCCGATGGGGCCCTTCCCAGGGGAAGCCCATGATAACACGCGGGGGCGACGCGCGCGCAACGGGTGCCCGCCGCCGAGCTCCGAGCCCTCGACGGGCACGCCAAAAGGGCGGGGCGCCCACGCGCGGCATACGCAGTGCCTCTGCAGCGTTCGGTGGATCCCCTTGCGGGGCAGGGAATGCGGAAGGTCCGCGCTGAATCTGCCCCTCTGCGCACACTCCTCAAACAGTTCGTGGCGCGCTGATCGGCGCAGCTGCTCAGGGGGGCGCCAAACGGCAGATGACGCGCCGAACATGGGTGCGGTGAGGTCGCGAAATGCGCGCGCAATCGCTGGGGCCTTCGGTGCAGCTCCCTGGCGGTCAGCGAAAATTGGCGAGAAACGAAAATGTATGTGAAGAAGATGAGCGATCTGCAAGCCCCCTGCAAGGATCAAAAGGCTCTCTGACGGGGTCAGGAGCCACCCCTGGGGGGGGGAGGGCTGGATGGATCAAAAGCCCCCCCCCCTGCAGGAATCCAGACGCCCCCCCCTGGAAGGATCAAGCGGCCCCCCTGGCAGCCCAAGAACCCCCCCACCAAGGATCGAGGGTCGGCCCCTGGAGTGTCCACGAGGGCCCCAATGGGGCCTGAGAGGTGACACAATGCTAACAACAGCGACGCTGGAACACCGACGCCGCTGCTGCGAACGATTTGCCAGCTTGTGAGAGCACCCCCTCTGAAGGTAAAATTGCCCCGCCCCCCTCGACGATCCAAAAGCACCTCGATGGATACTGAACGCTGCCAGAAAGCCCACGGAAAGCATGAGTGCGCCAACAGGGCCCCGATTGTGCCCGAACGCTGACAGAGAGCCCTCAGATCGCCTCCAGTGCCCTCGAAGGGGACAGGGAACTGGAACGAGGCATGGCTTGGACGAGGACCCAAGGAACGAGGAAGCTGGTGAAAACGACAAGGAGGATGGCGGGGGGGCACGCACACCTTTCAGAGAACATTTCGAGACCGCCAGGAATAAAACAAAGAGCTGCCCGTACCACATATATAATTGAAACACTGGTGGCTCGCTAACGAGGGACGACGTCCGACAACAAAACGCCGCCTAAGAACTGCGGCAGCCCCCGCCCGCCCACCCCTCCCCAGAGAACTCACGTCACAACCGTAATCCCACATTGCCGAACCGTGGCGAGCCTGGGGCGGCGCCACCGCGCACACCCCGCTGCGCTGGTCCATGACCACGCCCATGGTGATGCTGAGGTCCGTCCCCACCTTCGTGCCGTCTGGCCCCGCGATCGACACGCATCTGGCGTCCTGGGGAAAAGGGGGGCCCGCAAAACAAATACAGAACTAACTTACCATATACAACTACGAATGCATCACTGTTGGTACCGCTTTCAGGGGATCTCCCTATGGGGCCAGGAACCGCGTGTGAAAAGTGTGCCGAAACAATGGCGGTGGCGCATGCAACCTGGCGCCACTTGGTCCTTGGGTGGGTCTCCCTGTGAGGCCACGAACCGTGTGAGGGGTGTGCCGAAGTGGGCGGCGGTGGCGCATGTAACCTGTGCCACTGGCACCTTCGGTGGATCTCCCTGCGCGGCCACGAACCGCGCGAGGGGTGTTTCGCAATGGGCGGCGGTGGCGCATGCAACCTGTGTGCAACTGGAACCTTCGGTGGGCCTCACGGTGGGGCTATGAACCGTGCGAGTGGTGTGCCGACATGAGTGACGGTGGCGCATGTAACCTATGTCACTGGAGCGTTCGGTGGAGCTCCTTGGGGGGCCACGAACCTAACCTTGCGAGGGGTGTGCCTAAATGTGCGGCAATGGCGCATGCAACCTGCTCCACTGGAACCATCGGTGGAACTCGCTATGGGGCCGCGAACCGTGTGTGAAGGGCATGGCGGCATGGGCGGCGGTGACGCATGGAACGTGCCAATGGAACCTTTCGGTGGAACTCCCTGTGCGGCCGCCGCGAACCGTGTGAGGGGTGTGCCGAAGTGTGCGGCGGTGACGCATGCAACCTGCGCCATTGGAACCTTCGGTGGGACTCCCTATGCGGCCGCGAACCGTGTGAGCGGTGTGCTGAAATTTGTGGCGGTGACGCATGTATGTGCCACTGGAACCTTCGGTGGAGCCCCCCATGGGGGCCACGAGCCGTGTGAGGGGTGTGCCGAAAAGCGCGGTGGTGGCACATGCAACCTCTGCCACTGGGGCCTTCGGTGGAGTTCTCTGTGGGGCCACCGAACTGTGTGCGAGGGATGCCGAAATGAGCGGCGATGACGCATGCAACCTGTGCCACTGGACCCTTCGGTAGCTATGGAGCCACGAACCGCGTGGGAGGGGTGCGCCGAAATGGGCGGCCGTGACACATGCAACTTGTGCAACCTGATCGTTGGGTAGAGCTCCATATGGGGCCACGAACCATGTGAGTGGTGTGCCGAAATGAATGGCGGTGACGCATGCAACCTGCGCCACTGGAGCCTTCGGTGGAACTCCCTATCGGGCCACGTACCATGCGAGGGGCGTGCCGACACGGGTGGCGGTGACGCATGCAACCTGTGCCATTGGTGCTTTCGGCGGGTCCCCCTATGAGGCCACGAACCGTGTAAAACAGTGTGCCGAAATGTGCGGTGGTGACGCGCGCAACCTGTGCCACTGGAGCATTCGGTTGATCTCCCCCCTGCGCGGCCGCGAACCGCGAGGGCGTGTCGGGGGAGGGGGGGGGGGGGGGGGTGGCTGAGGAGATGAAGAGGAGGATGGAAGCGGGGGGCGCCCCTTCAAAACAAGGATCCACAAACGCAAATTGGCTGGAATAAAACATTTCCTGGCGACTGACCCAACCATATGCAATTGCGAGTACCGCAAGGCAAATTGGACGAAACAGCGGGAAGCCCCAATGGGGCAACGAACCGTGTGAGGGGTGCGCCCAATTGCGGGGCCACCATGCGAAACTTGCCACTGGGGCCTTCGATGGCGCTGCCTATGGGGCCACGATGTTTTTGACGGGCGTGTCGGCATGCGAGGCCGCCGCGCGGACCTTGCCAGTGGGGCACGCGGTGGAACTCCCTGTGCGGCAACGAACTGCGCGGGGGAGGTGGACCGAAGAGGGCGGCGGTGGCGCATGCAACGCGTGCCACTTGAACCTTTGGTGGGACTCCCTATGGGGCCACGAACCGTGTGAGGGGTGTGCCGAAATGTGCGGCGGTGACGCATGCAACCTCTGCCACTGGAGCCTTCGGCGGGGATCCTTGTGGGGCCACGGACCGTGTGAGGGGTCTGCGGAAATCAACGGCGGTGGCGCATGCAACCTGCGCCACTGGAACTTTCGGCGAAACTCCTTGTGGGGCCGCGAACCGCGCGTGAAGGGTGTGCCGAAACAAGTGGCGGTGACGCATGCAATCTGTGCCACGGGAGCCTTCGGTGGAGCTCCTTGTGGGGCCACGGGCCGTGTGAGAGGTGTGCCGAAATGAGCGGCGGTGGCGCGTGCAACCTGTGCCACTGGAAACTTCTGTGGAGCTCCATATGAGGCCACGATCTGCGTGAAGCTTGCGCCGACACGGGTGGCGGTGACGCATGCAACCTGCGCAACTGGAACCTTCGGTGGAACTCCCTATCGGGCCACGTACCATGTGAGGAGCGCGTCGAAATGGGCGGCGGTGGTGCACGCAACCTGTGCCACTGGAGCCTTCGGTGGATCCCCCTATGAGGCCACGAGCCGTGTGAGGGGTGTGCCTGCAACATGAATGGCGGCGGCGCGTGCAATGTGTGCCACTGGAACCTGCGGTCGAGCTCCATGTGGGGCAACGAATCGCGTGAGGGGCGGGGGGGGGGGGGGGATGGGGGGCGAAACGATCGGCGGTGGCGCATGCAACCTGCGCCACTGGCGCGTTCGGTGGAACCCCCTATGCATGGGGCAACGAACCGCGCAGCTGAAGCGCGTGCCAAAATGCGTTGGCAACCTGTGCCACTGGAGCCTTCGGGGACCCCCTTGTGGGGCCACAAGCCGTGTGAGGAGCGTGCACAAATGGGCGGCGGCGACGCGCGCAACCTGTGCCACGAGGCTTCGGTGGAACTCGCCATGGGGCCGCGGAACGTGAGAGGGGTGCGCCGAAATGAGCGGCGGTGGCGCATGCAACCTGTGCCACTGGGGCCGTCGGTGGAACTGCCTGCGGGGCAACGAACCGTGCGAGGGGCATGCCGAAAGGGGCGGCGGTGACGCATGCAACCTGTGCCACTGGAACCTTCGGTGGAGCTCCCTATGGGGCAACGAACCGTGCGAGGGTGTGCCGAAATTGGCGGCGGTGACTAATGCAACCAATGCCACTGGGGCATTCGGCGGACATCCCAATGGGGCCACGAACCGTGCGAGGGGTGTGCAGCGGTGGCGCGTGCCATCTGCGCCGCTGGGGCCTTCGGTGGAACTCCCTGCGGGGCCACAAGCTGTGCGTGAGGCGTATGCAATGGGCGGCGGTGGCGCATGCAACCTGCGCCACTGGGGGCATTCGGTAGAACCCCCCATGGGGCCACGAACCGTGCGCGAGGGGGGCGCGGGAAAGTGCGGCGGTGCGCAACCTGTGCCACTGGAACCTTCGGTGGAACTCCCTATGGGGCGACGAGCCGTGTGAAGGGTGTGCCGAAATTGGCGGCGGTGACTAACGCAACCAATGCCACTGGGGCATTCGGCGGAGCCCCCCATGGGCCCACGAACCGCGCGAGGGGGCGCGCCGACATCTGCGGCTGCGACGCAAGCGACCTGTGCTACAGCCTTCGGTGGAACCCCCTATCGGGCCACGAACCGTGGGAGGCGTGTGCCGAAACGGGCGGCGGTGGCGCATGCAACATTTGCCATTGGAACCTTGGTTGGATCTCCATGCAAGGCCGCGATCCGCGTGAAAATTGCGCCGAAACAGGTGGCGGTGACGCATGCAGCGCAACCTGTGCCACTGGAACCTTCGGTGGAGCTCCTGGTTGGGCCCCGAACCGTGCGAGGGATGTGCCGAAATGGTCGGCGGTGGCGCGACGCATGCAACCAACCTGTGCCGCTGAGCCTTCGGCGGAGCCCCCTGCGCGGACACGAGCCGCCTGACGGGTGCATCGGGAGAGGGGGGGGGGGGGGGGGCGGGGAGGAGGATGAGGAACGCGGAGATCACCATTTAAAAAATGGCCAACAACACAGCCTTGTTTGGAAACTCATTCATGGCTCGCTGTCAAAGCGCGGGAAGCCCCAATGAAGGCCCAAGTGGGGCGGTTCGCATGCCATCGCGCCCAATTCGGCTTTTGGCACGTGGTTCGCGCCCCTCAGGGAATTCCGAAGGCCCCATTGAGGGCCCGCATGGAAACAGCGCGCCCAATTCTGCACGCCCCCCACGCGGGCCGCGGCCCCATATGGAGTCTCACCGAAGGCGCAAGTGGGAAGGTTCGCGCGGCAACACAACACAACCGCCCGTCTTTCCCGCCCAAACCCGCGGCAAGTAGCTGCACCGTGTCCGCGCGGGGCAGGAGGGCAAGAGCTCCGACCTTCCTCTCGCCCCAGTGCGGGTGCAGGCGGGCACCTGTCCCGTCGTCGTGGTGCAGCGCGAAATCCCACATCGGCAGCATCACGTTCAGCTCCTGATTCGCCACCTGTGACACTGGCAAGGATTGTTGGCGCATGTGGTCGTAACTGTTTGGCCGCATGTCCAAGGCGCAGCCGATCAGACCCCCGCTGATGCGATGGGCCCTCACAACCCCCCTGATATTTCCTTGAGCGTCACCACCATCTCTTGCCAGCGCCACGGGACCTCCTCATGGGCCCTGAAAGGGAAGCTCGTCCCCTTAACGAGTTCGACAGCCTGGACCATGGTGGGGTTCACGCTGTCGAACAAACTGCCCTCTGAATCGAACGGCCTTGAGACGTCTTCACAATAGCTGCGCCAATAGTTCAACGCTTGGTTGTGTTGCTTAAACGAAGTGCCTGGTACCCGCAACGTTGGCCGTTGCACATGGCTGTTTTTTTTCATGCGGGTTGAAGAAATGCTCAACCATCCTGTGGTGGCGTGCCTTCGATTTAGAGCGGGCCGCGTATCTTCCTTCATTTATCCCCCATTCCCTCTCATCGCAAACGTCATCACTATCCCATGTCGTTTCGCCCCTCGCACGGTTCGTGGCTCCATAGGGGGGGGGGGGGCCTGCCGAAGGGCCCATTCGAGGGCACCGCATGGTACCACAGAACCACATTCGGCACACCCCTCACACGGTTCGTGGCCCCATATGGGAAGTTCAATAATAAACCAAGTGGGGGGGTTCGCATGACACCGCCGCAACCAATTTGGCACACTCTTGACACGGCCCGTGGCCCCACAGGGAGTTCCACCGAAGGTTGCAGTGGGAGGGATCGTATAGTGCCCGCACCCAATTCGGCAGACCCTTCAAACGGTTCGTGGCCCCAATGGAGGTCAACCCAAAGCGGCCCCAAAATGTTGCACTCGCAGCTACATATGGTTGGGTCCTTCGACAAGCTGATGTAAGAAGGAAGGCGCGGGTTCGTGACATCGCCTACGCATTGGGAACTGTTGGGCGTTTCGGTGCTGGTTCCTGTAGGCTTCCAAGGCAGCGTTTAGATTGTCTAAGAGCCCCCCTTATGGGGCCACGAACCGTGTCAGGGGTATCCGAATTGGGTGCGGTGGTGCAATGGGCGAACCCTCTCACTGGGGCGTTCTGCTTGTCTTCCTGCGTGCGTCTGCGTGTGTTTTGTAGCAACGACGAAATCGCCAGGACGCCTGGCGCTCGAAAACACGTAATCCAAATAATATACAATGCGGTGGTTTGTTTTCCGCTTCGCGCGTTTGGAAGGGCCCCGCTCCCGCGCTACGCGCTGGGGACTTGCGTTTGTCATGCAAATAACGAAACTCGCCAGGCTAGGACGCCTGGCGCTCGAAGGGTGTGCCGAATTTGGTGCGTGGGCCATGCGAACCCTCCCACTTGCGCATTCGGCGGAACTCTCGATGGTGCCACGAACCGTGTGCCGAGAGTGCCTACGATTAAGCGCGGAGGTGCCGCGCGAACTTTCTTACTGGGGCGTTCGGTGAAACTTCCTACGGGACCGCGAACCGTGTAAGGAGTGTGCCGAATGTTGTGTGGCGGTGCCATGCGAGCACTCCCACTGGGGCCCTCGGTGGAGCCCAAAATGAAGCCGCGGGCCGTTCGAGGAGCGTGCCAAATTGGGATGGCGCTTATGATGGTGATGGTGAGAAATGAAGGATGGAGGAAGAAGGCGCGAGGCGCTGTCCCTTCAAAACGAAGCCTTAACACGCGCAGGATGGTTGGGGGCATCTTGAATTCGCCTGGCGAAGACCCAACCATATGGAACTGCGAATACAGCATTGCGGGTACCGATTGGAACTCCCTATGGCACCACGTACCGTGTGAAGAAGGGTGCGCAGTATTGAACGATGCCTGTGGCGCCATGCGAACCCCCCACTAATGTCGGGGGCGGGGCAACTCATATGGGGGCAACGAACCGTGTGAAAAGGCATACGAATTGGGCGCGGTGGTGCCACACGAATCCTCCTGGGCCCTTCTATGGACCGCCCTGGGCCACGACCCGCGTGAAGGGTGCGCCGAATTGGCCGCGGTGGTGCCGCGCGAGTCCCCCCACTGGAACCTTCGGTTGAGCGCCCCATGGGGCCGCGAACCGCGCGAAAAGAGGCGTGCCGAATTTGGCGCGGCGGTGGCATGCGAACCCTCCCGATGGGGCCTTCGGTAGAGCTCCATATTGGGCAACGGCCCGCATGAGGGGCGTGCCGAAATTGGATGGCGATGGCGGCGGTGGCGAGGGAGGAGGGGGGGGAGAAGGAGACGCAAGGCGTTCTCTCTTCAAAACGAGGGCCCAACAGCAAAAGACGGTTGACAACTAAACCCGAGAGTCGCGCCACCCCACGTCCCATTTCTGGGCCCCACCCCGAACGCCCCCGCGCGGGCAAGTCAGGCGGCGGCCGCGAGAGGCGCAAGGACGGATGACGGAGGAGAGAGGAGACACTGTTCAGGAAGGGGGAAAAGGGGATTGATAGACGAGAGGATGGATCGAGGAATTCGGAAGGGGAAGGAGGGGGGGGAAAGGCGAGCATGCGGATGAGTTCGGAAACAGACGCGAAGAACCCAGATGAGGGCAAGAAACAAAGCTGCATGAGACAAAGAAACTCGAAACAACACTCCCCCGTTTCCTCCCGCCCCTCCCCGTCACACTGACCTCCCCTCGCACCCCCTACCCCCGCCCCCCCCCCCGCCCCCCCGCCCTCATTCCCTCCTTCTCCCCTCCCCGCGCCTTCGCCACCCGCATCCTAGTATGCCCCCGACGCTCTCGAGCCTCCGCTCACCCCACTCCCCGCCCAAGACCCCATCAAAGCCTCATCCGCCTCTTTCGATATTCCCCTCCTGCGCGGGTCCTTGAATGCGCGCCGTGACGCATCTACGTACTGACACAGCAAGCGCTCCGTCAAGCGCGCGTTCCTGGCGTGGTAGAGCTTCATGCGCCCTCCCCCCGCGCCGCCGTCGAGGTCCATCGGCTCGAGCGCGTTGCCGCGCACGGGGTGCGCGGCGCAGATCATGCTCTCCACGATGCCAGACATCTCACGGAGCACCTGGCTGGAGGGTCGGGAGGACGAGGACGAGGAGGAAGAGGGGTGGGGGGGGGGAGGTGAAGGAGGAGGAGGAGCATGAGGAGGATGAGGAGGATGAGGAGGAGGGGGAGGAGAGAAAGGAGGAGAATGGGGGGTGAGGAGGATCTAGGGGGCAGGAGGAAAAAGGAGGAGGAGGAGAAGGATGGAGATGCGGAGGATGAAGAGGGGATGAGGAGGAGGATGAGGAAGAAGAGGAGGAATCTGAGGCTGACGAGAATGGTGGTTTAGATTCACGATTGGCACCCCTGGAGTACGGCGAGCCCCCCCCCATCCCCAGCACAAAAGCTTGAAATCGGAACGCATCCCCTCCTATCATACCTTAGCGACCCCCCCCCCCCCCCCCATGTCGGCATTCGTTGCCGAAGCACCTGAGCAGCAATTGACTTAAGCAGCTCGGAGTGCTCCTGGCAGCCAGCGTTGTGCAAGTGGGTGACGAAGTCGACGATGTCAATGCCTTGCAAGTCCGACAGCCTGATGAACTGAGGCTCTGCGCGGATCTCATGGTGGACCTGGTCGGATTGGAAGGCCTCGAAAATATCATCCAGCTGCACGCGGCTGTCGATCACCCTAATGACCCGATTGCACTTGCCGATGAAGCGGTGGCCGACCTCTTGAACGCACCAAAGAATGATATGACACGCCCCCCCCCCACCAGCACACGCTGGTCTCGCGATTCCAAGGGGCGGGAGGGGCGGCGCCAAGCCGCTGCAGGGTCGGTCAACAGCCCCCACCCTGGCCCCCACCCTCGACGAAAGGGAAAGACCTCGAAGTGAACGCGCTCGCGCTGCCCGCACCCCCTCCCCCCCCATGAGGGAGGAGGCGGCCGCACAAAACGCGCGCGTTCACTTTGAGCCCGTCCATCTCGCCGAGTCGGCCAATCACCTGGCCCCACCAGGGGCGATGAGCATCGCATCAGGCAAGAGGGGTGGTGCAGGAGGTAAGAATGATGTGCGAGGTAACACGTTCGACGAAGGAATGGGGAGCACGTGGGCCGCCGAAGAGGAGGAATGCGAAGGACAGGAGGGGATGGGGGAGGTGCCAAGCAACTCACCCCAAGGAAGGAGCGATGGCGCTGAGGAAGGGGCGGAGACGAACTCCGAACTCGCCCCAACCCCATCCATCCTCCATTGCACCCTCCTTCTCAATGGGTGAGTCGATCGGTCCCCCCCCCCCTGCCCTGGGCCAGAGAATTCGCGCCGCGGTGCCCTGCGCGCGGCGGAGTCCAGCTTGACGTCGATATTGAAAGTGTCAGGCAACTTTTGCATGAGGGCCAAAAACATGCGCTCGAACGCTGCCCGATTCGCCGCCATGTCAAGTCGCCCATGCCGCTGCGAAGAAGCACGGGAACTGCGCAGCGAGAGCACGAAGAGGAAATGGAAGCTAACAGCAGGAAATAGAAGGCACCTGTCAGGATGAGCGTCGCGTTCCTGGGCGCAGTACGGCTGGGATGGACGGATGCATTTGTCAGACCCGCCCCACCTCAAGATCTCGGTTGCCCAATTCGCCCGCCTCTTATGAAACCATTTCGTACCGTTCGCTTGCGGGCCCTTCAGGCCAAGCTTAGTAGTGACGTCCCCGATGTCGAAATAGAGATGCCCGCCCTCCCTCTCGTACTCAAAGACAGCCCCCGTGAACGCAAGTCCAGGATACCCTGGTTCCGCTGGCACTACTAGAAGATCAACCACCCGATGCTTCTGAACAAGATCAAGCCCTGGAATGCGTTCCCCAGTGTTCGTCACGACCGTTATATCACGAAGGTGAGGCTGCCCACCAGCTCGGCTACTGGAGTAAACGCTGGCGGTCATGTAATTCTGACAATAGTGGCCTGGTGCGTCATCTCCAGGGTCGAGAGGTACCACGACTCCAGGGGCCAGTGGGTCGTCGGGATCTCCCCATATATCCCAAACCTTCGCAGGGGCACCGCGAAAGTTAGGGGTGCGAGGGTCGGGGGGAACGCGGGCGATTTGCGATGGGGGGGGGCGCGGAAGGGCGGTGGTGAGGGGAGCGAATCGGGGAGGGAGTAAAAGCGCGGGTGCAATCGAGGAGTCGAGGGGGGGGGACTGTACACAAGTGCAAGAATATTGACTGGGGGTGCCTTGAATATGAAGGGGGGGTGAATGGGGGGAGGCGAGCAATGTGAGGGATTGGTGCGATGAGCAGGACGATGGGAAGTGGCCGCGAAGGTAATCATGGTCACGATGGGCAGGAAGAGGGGATGGGAGGATGCGGAGGCAGAGTCCAAGGTGAAGGTGATGTGCGCATCGCTATCGACCGATGCGCGGGGGCGGGGTGGGATGGGGCGGGGTGCCCATGACGACACCGACCCCATCGCAATCGCGAAGCTGCCAACTTCCCCCCACCCCCAGACCTTCTCATGCGGTAGCTCCACAATCTCCAAGGTCACCGTGTTCTGCAGCAGCTGGATGTCAACTCCATTCGCCGCGTTGCCCCTGTAAAGCCGAAAGCACTGAGGGGACGCCTGCAAAAAGGCCATGCCTGAAAACCGTCTGGGCCAAAATGGCCGAGGCCCAAATGGCCTCGGCCACGAGGTGGGCGGTGGGGCGAGACAAAATCTGCGGAACCTTAACAATCCAGCGTCAAAGGTTCTACTGGAAGGGGCAGGGGGTGGCCGCGCTCGCCGAAATCCAACGCCTCAAGGCTCCATGCCAAAACGAATACCGACGTTAAGAACAACTGCCTCGGACTCACACCATCGATAATGTGAACTAACGGCTCCAACCCGAGGTACACAGCGCCAGCCATCATGGGGGCCGATCACCAGAAGCCTGCGGATGTCCTGTGTATATTTGGGGCGGGGGCGCAAGCGGGGCAGAAATGAGCACCGTTCTCGGCGCGTCCGAAGGCGGGGGCGGAGGGCTAGCCATCAACGTTTTTTTCCACATCGTTGCAGAAGGAACGCTGCGTCCCCACGCTGCGTACTGCGCCAGCGCAACCCGTTCACAAGGTGAGAAGCGGGCAATCTGGCCTGGGGGGGCTGTCGGTCTCACCGTGATGGCCTCATCAATGTGCGCAACCAGCCTTCACTGAACCTCTTCGCTCATCCATCCTACTAGTCCCTCCCCTCCCCTTAATATCTCATCCCCCCTCTTCATTCCTTCTCCCCTAATCAACCCTGCCTCCTACCAGCCTCCGCGCCTGGACTGGAATCAGACCAAAACCCATGTCTATTTCTATGTGCGCGGCAAGCACCACTCCAGGAACAGAGCCACCGATCAGCCCCCCAAATGGCCTATGATGGCCCCCGCGAAGCCACCTTCACCGTGGCTAAATCTAAAACCGACGTGCAACTCGGAGCAGCATAATTTATACCGCGCCCCCCGAGACAAGGCGCGAACCCGCCCCCAAGAATTGAAAAGGGGGCACGGGGAATCAGAGACAGCGCGGTCACCACCGACGCCGACGAATGCGAAACCTACTCGGAAATGTCCTGCTCCCCCCCATCAGCCACTGGCGGGGGCAACGGCTGCTTCTCCGCAGCCGCTGGTGGCTCCTGGAGCGGAGCTGCCTGGAGAGCAGCAGCAACCTTCGGGCGCGAGCGGCGCGCGGCCACGCAGAGCTCCTTGCTGACGGTGACCTCGGCCTGGAACTTCCGCTTCTGGACGGTGCCGACGAACGTCTCGGCCTGCTTCTGGTCATCCCTCTTCTTGTCCTGGACCTTCTTGACCTTCTCGACGAACAGCTTGGTGATCGGCCTGTGCGAGCCCAAGTTCAAGACGTTGGCGGCGTACTCGGCGAAGTTGTTCTCGATGGTCTTGCCCGGCACGGGGGGGGGGAGCGCGCTGCTGCAGAAGCGACGAGAGGCGTCGAGGGAGATGGGGGGGGCGTCGGCGAGAGGGGAGGGGGGAATTTAGAAGCAACGGTGGAGGACGGGGGGGAAGCGAGGGGGAGGGCGGGGGCAATAGCGGGGGGGGTGGGGGCGGGGGGGGGGGGAGGGCGGAGCAGGGCGAGGGTGGGGCGCGGAAGGAAGAGGGTGGGGGGTGAATGGTGGGGTGAGAAGCAAGGGCGGAGGGTGGATGGCGGATGAAGCCAGGGGCGATGGCGGAGAAAATGAGGGTGGAGCGCGAAGAAACACATGGAGGACGGGGGGGGGCGAGGATGGACGAGGGAAAAAAAGATAAACGAGGCGGGGAGGGAGGAGCTCGAGGGGTGGGCATTGAGGTTCGATGGGTGGCCTGCGGGCCAGGGCTCACGGAGCTCGTGGTCGACACCAGTGACCAAATTCCGCATCACGTCCTGTCGGACAGCGCGTAGCGGGGGGCGACGGGTCAACAAGGAAACTGATTTGGCACGAGATGGGGGGGTGAAACGAGAGAGAGATAGAGAAAGAGAGAGAGAGAGAGAGAGAGCGAGAGAGAGAGAGAGAGAGACGCTGGGGGGAGGCACAGAGGAATACATATATATATATATACATATGTATCTATATGATTGCATGTAGATATAATGGAACAAATGGCGGGGACGCGCACGAGGATGGCGACGACGAGATGGACGGGGGAAGGGCGAACGAATGACGGAGGGATGCAGGGATTAGCGATGGGGGCGAAGGGCGTGGATGGGGGGGGGGATGTTGGTAACGGGCTGGGCGCGGCGAGAGGGCTCCGCCAAGACGTTGCGCAAACCCCGAGGCCCGATAAACTCGTTTCTTGGGGCCACGTTGGGCCCCCTTGGGCACTGTGTATTATTGTTGCTTGGGGGGTGGCGAGGCCCTCTCTGGATATGCTCGACAGAGTCTGGACGCTGCCCTCGCAACGCGGGGAAACAACGCGATATAACCCCATCAGCCCTCTGGGCGACAAGTTGTTTAACGATGCCTCTCGTTCCTCTTCCACAAACCTTCGCGCCCCTGCCCGCAGGAAGGATTACCTACCCATCCCGACCCGCCCCCCTGGACATCGACGGGGCGCACCGCGAAAGGCAACGCCAAACACTGACAACGCAATGCCACGAGAGGGGGTCAAATGCTCCACGGTTGCCTCGAACACGCCCAAGTTAACGTGGCCGACGATAGTTCTAGACAACTTCCGACGCGCTCCCCCCCCCCAAACAAAAAAAAACAAACTAGAGGCCGCAGGGGTGGTGGGGGGGGGGGGCGCGTGCTCTCGGGGCGCCCCACCAGGACCCTAAGGAAACCAACGTAGTTCAACAACTCCCTGGGGGGGGGGAAACAATATAATGGCGTTGGCCTTCCCTCCCCCTCGATGTCCACGCGCCCTGGGGCTTCAAAGACGACCCCAAAAACGCCCAAGAGAACCCCACGATGAGCCCAAGATGACCCCATCACTGCCTCGAGATCGCCCAGGTGCGTCCCAAGAGCGACGCACAAGGGCGCCCCAAGAAGCGGCGGCGGCTACCCAAGATGGGAACGGACATCGGGGACCCCCCCCCCATCCGTCCTCTGTTGGTCGACTTCTCGGGGACGCTCCCAAGAGGCCCCGCGAGGCTCCCAATGAGCCCCCAAGAACGCCCAGCGCGCCCCGAGAAGGCGCTCAGACCCCCCAAAAGAGCTCGAATGGAACCCCACGGCCATCCGAAATAGCCCCAAGTGGGCACCGATAGAACCCCAACATGACCCCCAGAGACCCCCCAAGAGAGACGCGTCACCAGCAACAGCACCAACGCCAGCAGCGGCAGCGCAACCACTACAAACACCACCCGCAGCAGCAGTACCAACAGCAGCACCGCAAGCAGTAGCCTCAACATCAGTAGCATCAGCGGCAGCCGAAGGAGGACCACCATCAGAACCAGCAGCGTCAGCAGCGGCATCAGCAGCACTAACCCAGCCACAACCACCACTACCAGAGCAAACAGCAACACCAACAACCTCAACAACACCAGCAGCACCACCAGCAGCAACTCCAGCACCCGCATCAGCAACACCACCACCCTCACCAACACTAGCACCAGCGCTGCAGCAACGCCACCAGCAGCATCACTGCCATTAGCAACAACCCCAGCAGCACCAGCAGCAGCACCACGATCAGCAGCATCGACAACACCATCATCATCAACTTGCATCATCCGAACCACCAGCGACCAGGACTAACAGTACCACGACGAACACGAGCATCAGGAGCTCCATCAGCAGCGACAGTACGTGAGCAGCACCAGCAACATCGACAACAACAACGCTGGCAACGGTAGCATCAGCGTAACATCATCAGCACGCGCCTCGCTGTCATCGGCACCGTCCTCCTTCTAGCATTCGTATTCGTCCTTCTCCTCATCGTCGTCCCCATCATGTTCCAGGGCTCATCGTCGTCATCCACATCTTCCCTCATCCCCGCACTACTCACCCCCATCCTACAAGCGCCTCCCGCGCGGGCCCCAGATGTGGCCCGACGAAGACTTCAATCAACAACCATCGCATTGGTGCCTGAAATTCTCTATCGATATCAACCTGACCACCCGATCCGTCTCACAGCACGCGTATCTTCCTGTCGCACCCCGCCCGTCAATGTTCATGCGCATCGTTTCTGAAAAAAAGCTGGCGCGGTGGAGATACGCGAAGCGTGAGCGATATCAACTACGAACATAACGGATACTACAATGCCAAGCAACCTTTCGCCCGACAATCCCAGTCGATCCTTGACTGTACCATCCTCGGAGTCACGGGCAACAACCTGGAATATCGCGTGCGGTGGCAAAAACACAACTTTGTCGTCCTGCCAACAATGCTTGAAGAACCCCCCCGATTTGTTCAGAAGACCGCGGTCGGTGATCAGCTTTGACAAGAACTTTGCGAGGGTCTCTTTGCACAACAGGTCGCCGCCGATCTCGAACGTGCGAAGAAGCCCTGGGGGGGGGGGGCGGGGTCGGGCGGCCGACGTCTCTGCACCCCCCTCCCGTTACCACCAACCATCGCCCCTACCGATCTTGCCGAGAACCACCGCCTCCACCCGCCAGACTCGTTCGCAATTCCCGTGACTGCTGCCGCCCCCGTCGCCCCCCCATTCCCCCAACTTCCCCGAGCTCCTTCCCGCCTCCTCTCGCAGTTCCCTCCCATTACCCTCCTATCGATCACTCTAATCACCCTTCCACCAGTTGGACATTCCCGCCCCATCCCACCCCCCTTCCCCCGCCCCTCCCACCCACCCCGCCGCCCCTTGAATCGCCCGCGGGGTCCAGACAAGTACACCATGATCTGCCTCATCCACTGGCCACCCTTCGCGCAAATCGCTGAGATGAGCGCAGCGGGGATCTGGTGGTCGGCGAGCTTCTGGAGCAACGCGAACAGCCATGGCGAGGGGACGTCGGCGAGGGTCTTGACCTTCGAAGCCGAGAAGTAGGGCTGACTCGTGAGGGCCTCCGCCTGGGCTTCTGCTTTCTTGGACGCCTTGGTTGGGCTCTCCTCGATCTCCTGACGAGGCTTCGCGGCGATGATCTCCAGCAGGGGCACCTTCTCCTTGTCCTGGGGACAAGGGGCAAACAACGATCGCGGGCGCGGGGGGGGCGACGGGGGGACCTGCCTGGAGC